TCACAGGGTTACACCTTCAGCCTTGGTTCCGGCTCTGTTTCGTGGCGGGCTACTCGCTCGTCTTATGTTCTCGGCTCCAATTGTGAGGCTGAGATCTACGCGGGAGCCATGGCTGCACTGGAGCTTCGCTGGCTCACCTACCTGCTGTCTGACCTCGGAGAGCCGCCTCGTTCTCCTCCAATGATGTACGTAGACAACAAGGCCATGCTGGCCTTGTGTCGGGAGCAGCGACTGGAGCACAGAACGAAGCACATTGCTCTCCGCTACTTTCTTGCTCGTGAGCTGCAGCAGCGTGGTCAGCTGCGTCTTGCGTACGTGGCCTCTGAGGCCAACAGTGCTGATATCTTCACCAAGGCGCTTGCGCCTTGTGGCCATCAGCGCTTCTGTACTCAGCTGGGCCTTGTGCCTTCCTTGCCTCACTTGCTCACCTCTTGACCTTGCTTGTACTGTTACATATATATATACCTGCTCTTGCTTGTCTAGCCTATATATATGTACTCCTGCATGTGAACTGGCCTTATGGCCTTGAACTTGTGCTCGGAATGTGTGGTGACTTTGTGATCCACCCTGAGCTTGCTTTGCTTTGCTTTGCTTGACTGGTCTTGTGACCCCTTGTTCTCCCCCACTTTGCCTATGAGGGTGTGTCAGAACATTATAGCTCATGCATATTGTGTAGGCTATAGTGGGGTAGCCCATAAGGGGTACAACCCAATTAGTGTTAGTACTTGTACCCAATTCATTCATAGTTCATTCATTCCTTGTTCTTCTCACCCTTAACACTAGCCTAACACTCGCCTTTTGCAAAGTGTTAGCCTGTCGAACAGGGCCGCGATGTTGACGATCGCAGTAAGGAATAGCGAGAAAATTCCTTATAGTTTAGAAACATTGACTAGGATTTGTCCACATGTCTAGATGCTCACACAACCTGTAAGGATTTACAGGATCCTTACTGAGGCACTCGTTAGCGAGGCCATCCCGAGGGTCACGCGACGAACCTGTCCTTCCTATTTCGTCGCACCGAACCACTCCCGAGTCGCCTCCGCTCCAATCGCAACCATCACCGAGCCATCCTCGTCCAACCCATCCGCCTATCTAGGACTTCCCCTATTTAGTCGTGCCTTTCTCATTGTATCGTCATTCGGTAATCAGTTCATTCTCTTTATTCGATATTCTGCGCAATCTGCAAGTTCATTCATAACACCTGGTATCAGAGCGACTTTTCTAGCCTACCCCGCTTTTTAGACTGTAGTACCCCTCGGGGGGGGGGGGGGGGACGAGGAAGGATGTCTTGGGGTCCAGGAGTTGCGTAGGCCGGCCAGGAGAACGAGTTAGTTGCTCCTCGCGGCCATGGTTTTACGGGTATTCCTTCGGCACCGCCAGATCCTTGCCTCGAACGGTCGCGATCGACCGTGGCCTCCCTCCCCTTGGGCAACGGACAGCTGAAGCTGTCGCGACATTCAAGTGAGTAATTTCCGCTGCAATTTCCGACGATTTCGGAGCTTGATTCGTGTAGCAGCTATAGTCAGCGGGCCTGCGTCAGCAAGGGCGACATTTTCGGAGCTTCTGTTGAAGAAAAAGTCGGCTGGGAAACTCGCCAGGCGCAAATGGAGTTTGCGTCCGAAAATATCGGTGGACGAGGAGACACGACACGCGAATAGCCCGAATTGTGCGGGGTCAACTGTCGTTCCGCCCGACCTGAAGTGCAACGGCTTTTACTGCATGGCGGGCGCGTCATCGAAGATTTCAGCAGAAGCGCACGTGGACAGACGAGAACTTCAGACCCGCCGACACTTACGGGTTGCAACAAAAATTGGAGTGGCTAAATCGCACTCAGGAGGAGTGGGACGCAGGCGGCGAGGGCAATTCGGGCCCATACACCCCGAAGAACACTCGGATGACGCTGCGTGCCTGGTACTGCTGACTGCTGGCCGGCAATTTCGAGAGTGGATTCCCTGTAAGGAAGCCATTTTCGGGGACAGCCTCAACAGCCCACGATTAAACGGTGTTCAAGGTCCACGCCGACAGTTACGGAGGTGAGTGGTACAGGCCGCCGGGACACACGAGAAGAAACTGCCCGACGGTTAAGCGGGGGTTGAAGAACGGCGTGCAGGCAGGTTAAAAGCCGGTGTGAACGATCTGTGACCTTTCGTCGCCCAAACCTCACCACCATCCCCACCAAGTTTCTAGTTCTGACTCATGCAGACAACTTGCTTGGCCGATCACGGGGGTGAACATGGGTCTACCCTGTGCTGGTTATAGGCACCTGGATTGGTGCTCGTTCAACAGCTGTACAGAAAAAACAAAAAAGGTGGAGTTGCGGCACTGTTCTTCTCCGACAAAAGCGGACTGGGTGAAACAGCACGCGAAAAAATCGGGGCGCCGCATGACAACAATGGTGCAGTTCGCTGGTTTCTCCTGACCCGGGCGTCTACACGAGGTGACGGCGCAGCGGCGGAGCTGGAACCGGGATCTGTGGAGTTTTAGTGGCGCGACGGCACGTTGGGCTGCGAAGCGGTTGGGAATGATTGCCTTTTCACTAAGGTCCCCCGACTCCGATAGACTTTTCTTCTCCACCGTGGCTGGGTTCGTGCGGGCAACACCGACTATACCTCATCCGAAAAATGCGGACGCTGGGTGAACGGCGGGAAGCGGAATTGTCGGGGGGTGAAACGACCAAAAAATTATGAAGCTGCGGGTATTTCTTCGCTTCTTGGAGTAAGGTTGAGTCGTTGGGGGTCCTCGCCTGAAGGGCACTTTTCGAAGTTGCCTGGCAAGAAACACAGCGGCAAGGATGCCTAGGACCTCCGGTGTTTAAACGCACACCTCAGGAAATTCTTCAGGAAAAAAGGGAGCGTGGAAGCAGTCGTAGCTTCAGGAACTTATCGACCGGCGACAAGCGATGTGGTGAAACATCTGCAAAGCGCTGGTGGGAGAAACGTGGGTTTTTTGTTAAACAGCATCGGCGGGAGCAGTTTCGACTACGGAGTCAACGGCGTTGATGCCTCTAGGTTCCGTGAAATTCGGTCTCGGAATAACCCAGGGCAGTCCCCGGTTCTCGATTGAATTCACATGCTGGGGTCGGGTAACCGACGGAAACTGATGGTGATCGAGTGGGCGGCTATAGCACGTCCGAGGTTTTCGGAGGCGAACTGCAATTGCAGCTGTGGATTTACGGGGTTGATGTGAGCGACAATTTCGGAGAGTTTTCGTGGGGACTTACTGGTTTTACGGCAAGGAGCGCCGACAATTTCGGAGGAGAATTCGGTGTTTGGTTAAACGCACGCGTCAAACGGAGGGGGGCAGCACCGCGAGATTTACACGGACTTTTTCAGGGGTACGAAGGACTTACGACGAACTGAAGAAGGCGGCAGCAACAGTGAAGGGGGGAAGCGACAGCTGTGAAATTTCATCCTTGCCCAAGAATCATCGACGCATTACGACAAAACTCTCGGAGAAACCAACTCTGCTACCGACAACTCACCTTCGACCCGCCCACGACAACTGCATTAAATCTCAACCACGTCAGGAGCTGCCAGCTGCAACTGCTGAAGATATCGGCTGATTCTGGCGACGTGAAGACAAAACAGTTCAGTTTCAGGTCTGCATCTTCGGGTTCGCCCTCGAAGAAATTTTGGGCACGTAACACCTGGGATTCGTCATCGAGTTTCACCTGGGTCTCTACGCTCACCAGTCTTCTCAGTGGGATTTAACACCTGGTTTTGTTGGTTTTCATCTCGGCGCAGCTGCGAAACTTTTCTGTGGAGGGGGGGGGGGGGGGGGGGGGGGGGAAGTGCTTTGCACTATTTCTTTCCTAGGCGTTTTCTCGGCACAATTTCTGACTTTGTCAGAATGCAGCAGCACGACGGACTACTGCGATCCCTGCTTCACGATCAACGGTTTCTGCAACATCGCGATTGAATTTCGCGTCAGCAGGTTCCCTCCAATCTCGCGTTAGTCTCGACCGTCAGATCCACATCTGCTTCATCAACGGCCCACATTCCAGCTTCAACTTCATTTTGGGCTAGTTCATCGTCGACCGTCAGATCGAAATCGTACTACATCAACGGCCTACCTTCCAACCTTTTCAAAAATATTATCGAAGGCATTTCGGCCGTCGGATTCAGCAGAAGGGGAGATATACGGCATCCTTGCTAGTGTGGGGTCCGTTTTCAGTACAGGACTGCCTTATTTAGAAGGTGGGAGAGTGTAAGGATTTACAGAATCATTACTGAGGCACTCGTTAGCGAGGCCATCCCGAGGGTCACGCGACGAACCTGTCCTTCCTATTTCGTCACACCGAACCACTCCCGAGTCGCCTCCGCCCCAAACGCAACCATCACCGAGCCATCCTCGCCCAACCTCTCCGCCTAGCTAGGACTTCCCCTATTTAGTCGTGCCTTTTTCATTGTATCGCCATTCGGTAATCAGTTCATTCTCTTTATTCGATATTCTGCGCACTCTGCAAGTTCATTCATAACACAACCCCCCAGACCGTAACTAGACATTCGGGTCTCCTGGAGCTTGACGAGATGATGGTTTGGAACGTTTGAGAGTGGTTCCGGGTGTGTTTGATTTAAACGACCACTAAAGATCATCGTTGCCCAATCAGATTGCACATCGCTCACACCAAAATCTGGCTGGCTGAGCTGCTTGGCCCAAATTCAAATTCGCGAAGACAAATTCAACACCTCGCACACACTGTCGCCAGGCACACCACCAGTTGAGCACAACCCACCAGAAATATGCAAAAAGAAGTCCCATCGCTATTGGTCGAGATCAGATTGCCTGGATTTCGGGCGAGCGGGTGAGGAGATTTCGGAGCGTCGGGCACCTGGAACGCACGCGGTCCGCGATGAGTCAGCATCCAACAACACCTCTCCCCCCACCCAACCCAAGCCCAAGCCCAACCAAGACCAAGCCCAAGTTCAAAAGAGCGGCCAGTCCCAGCAGTTAAGCCACACTCATCCAGGAATTCTTACAGCTGCCTTAACACATCCCCAATGGCTGCTCTCGCTAACGCTGCTGTGCTCCCCTCCACCTTCGTCGGCCAGAGCGCTGAGCTCGCCGCCAAGGTGAACAATGTCGAGGCCCGCGTGACGATGAGGAAGACCGCCAAGGCGGCTTCCAGCAGCGCCTTCTACGGCCCCGACCGCAACCTGTTCCTGGGCCCCTTCTCCTCCCCCCCGTCGTACCTCACCGGCGAGTACCCTGGCGACTACGGCTGGGACACGGCGGGTCTGTCCGCTGATCCCGAGACCTTCGCCAAGAACCGCGAGCTGGAGGTAAGCCACACCAGATTCATAACTAAACATTGACCCCGATTTCCCTTTAGAGAGATAAGAACGTTTTCCAGAATCGTTCATTTCGTTTTTGCGGCTTGCAATAGCAATCTTTCATTTTCTTCTGCTCGTATCGTCACCAACCCTGCTTCTCGAACCCCGAGTTTTTTCTGTAATTGATGATGATGCTTTCTAGCATCAGTCCACTGAATTGGTCCAGGCCGTTGTGCGGCCTGCATTAGCGTACTCGGGATCTCTTCATTCCTACCGTCACCATCTCCTGTTTTTCTTTCGTCTCGTCACCCTATCAGGTGATCCACGCTCGGTGGGCTCTGCTCGGCGCGCTCGGCTGCCTGACCCCCGAGCTGCTGGCCGGCAACGGCGTGAACTTCGGCGAGGCCGTGTGGTTCAAGGCCGGCGCGCAGATCTTCTCCGAGGGTGGCCTTGACTACCTGGGCAACCCCAGTCTGATCCACGCGCAGTCCATCCTGGCCATCTGGGCCACCCAGGTCATCCTCATGGGTGCCGTCGAGAGCTACCGCGTGGGTGGCCTTGAGGGTTTCCAGGAGGTTGAGGACCCCCTGTACCCCGGCGGTGCCTTCGACCCCCTGGGTCTGGCCGACGACCCCGACGCTCTTGCGGAGCTGAAGGTGAAGGAGCTGAAGAACGGCCGCCTCGCCATGGTGTCGATGTTCGGCTTCTTCGTGCAGGCCATCGTCACCGGCAAGGGCCCCCTGGAGAACCTGTCCGACCACCTGGCTGACCCCACCGTCAACAACGCGTGGGCCTATGCCACCAACTTCACCCCCGGTGCTTAGATAAATAATCCCTGTACATTTTTTCACTTTCATTAATAAAACGTAACTTCTCTATGCAACTAGGAATTACTTCTTGTTTTGCACCATTTAGTCATGGGAGTCTGAAACAAGATACCGTATTGTCATAGATGCGTTGTTGACAGTAGCGGGTGGCATGTTACTTCCTCCAACGCGAATTATGCTCTATTGGAAGAGTTACAAGTCAAGATGATGACTTCGCAATATCGTTTTTTTTGTTTGTCTGGTACCGCAAAGCGAGTCAGTGAAGAGCAAACAAGGTTGCTCAGACTGAAATTGGAGATGTCGCCAAGCTCACAAGTGAGAAGATTAACCTCAGGAGACGAGACATAGGTTTCCAGACTGCACCAGTTCGCTTAGCTTATCGCTGAGTTTGTGGTTGACTGTTCGCAAGTGCGGAAACTACATAGTTCACGACTGCCCACCATGCACCGTAAAGTAACGAACAGCAACGCACCAAGCCTTTCGCAAGTCAAAACTAATGTGATGTGTGCTCAGTTGCCCACCTCTGACGAGATAAGTGCTGTCATGGCGACTTGTCTGTGCACGTTGGAAATTGTTCGGGCTCCGACTTCTTGACTAAACGATACAATCACAGAACCAACCGCAATGTCACTCGGCTCCCTCATCCCAGCACACCCCACCCCAGCTTGCCTCATCCCACCACGCCCCATCCCACCACCGATACACCCGCCATAGGCACACCTCTAGGGAAGCTGAGTGATGTAGTATAAACCGTGCCCAACCCACACACACCCCAGAAAACATCCACTTCTGTTTGATCTGACCCCACAATCGTCGTGTGGTCCACACTTGCTCCATTTTGGGTGAGGTGATGAAAGCGACGATGGGAAATCGAGCAGCATGCTCAACCAATTAGATTGCACGCCACGTCACAGGAAAAACGAAATCACCACATTTCATGGAAACGTGTTTCCTTGGCGTTCGCTTAGCTTCGCAGCATCGGCGAAATACGTACTTTGTTCCACAGACTTTCATCGCACAGCCTAGCGAAACAACCGTGGTGCAACCACACCGACACCACAAAACAACATCAGATGGTAACCAACCAGGGTCCTCGCAATTGGTTGAGCCCTGATTGCGTGGATTTTGGGTGCTGAGGAAAGGAGATCTTCAGGCGTCAAGCGCGGTTCGTACTCAGATACCATCCAATCAGAACGCTCCTAGACCCATCCATGACTCCATCCAACCAGTTCCCCCACACGCAATTTTGGTTCATAAGTCGCTAGAGAATCGATTCTCAGCAGAAGCAGAAGCTCAATTCCAGTTTACTTTCAACACTCAAAACAGCTTCTCTTCCCAGCCCAGACATACAGCATGGCTGCTCTCGCTAACGCTGCTGTGCTCCCCTCCACCTTCGTCGGCCAGAGCGCTGAGCTCGCCGCCAAGGTGAACAATGTCGAGGCCCGCGTGACGATGAGGAAGACCGCCAAGGCGGCTTCCAGCAGCGCCTTCTACGGCCCCGACCGCAACCTGTTCCTGGGCCCCTTCTCTTCCCCCCCATCGTACCTCACCGGCGAGTACCCCGGCGACTACGGCTGGGACACGGCGGGTCTGTCCGCTGATCCCGAGACCTTTGCCAAGAACCGCGAGCTTGAGGTAAGGCTACCAGATTTGCTAACGACACAAAGGAGGTACATTACGTACGCAAGAACATTCATCGCTAAAAGGACCAACCATGAGATGTTTCACCCTGTTAGTGTGCAGAAATTACCAAATGCTATCATCTTTGCTGCTTTGCAACGCTCGCTGTTTTAAGGTTCTGACGATTTTTTTCTCTTCCTTCACCTGTTTCTAAATATCCAGGTGATCCACGCTCGGTGGGCTCTGCTCGGCGCGCTCGGCTGCCTGACCCCCGAGCTGCTGGCCGGCAACGGCGTGAACTTCGGCGAGGCCGTGTGGTTCAAGGCCGGCGCGCAGATCTTCTCCGAGGGTGGTTTGGACTACCTGGGCAACCCCAGTCTGATCCACGCGCAGTCCATCCTGGCCATCTGGGCCACCCAGGTCATCCTCATGGGTGCCGTCGAGAGCTACCGCGTGGGTGGCCTTGAGGGCTTCCAAGAGGTTGAGGACCCCCTGTACCCCGGCGGTGCCTTCGACCCCCTGGGTCTGGCCGACGACCCCGATGCGCTTGCGGAGCTGAAGGTGAAGGAGCTGAAGAACGGCCGCCTCGCCATGGTGTCGATGTTCGGCTTCTTCGTGCAGGCCATCGTCACCGGCAAGGGCCCCCTGGAGAACCTGTCCGACCACCTGGCTGACCCCACCGTCAACAACGCGTGGGCCTATGCCACCAACTTCACCCCCGGTGCTTAAATGCCGTAGTTGATGTGTCACCCTGTACATTTTCTTTGTTCAATATCGTAATACAATTTTGACTCCAAATCCGTGATATGTACGTAGTAACAACACCGAGAGTGAAGGCCAAGCTCCTACGTGCTGCCACACTCTGTAGTCTGTAGTGAGAGACATCTCCTTGCCATGAACAAGCATGCAACCAAGATGCCAAGTGAAAGGTTCCCTAGGATGTTGGTTTCTGGGTTTGCCGTGCCCTAGGGGCTGTGGTGTTTTCAAGTTAGGTCTGGCCGACTGCCCTGAGGGTATTGTGGACTTGTTGCGAACAAGGGTCATGTCCAAGCTAGGCTCGTCGTGGAGGAGTGGCTCCGGACCGGTGGGCATTACACCCGTTACAGGTATAGCACATTCATGAGATAAATGCATCACAGGCAAGCCCTCTCGTATATGCTTAGCTACATTGCTTAGAACTATTATGATCTAGCCATGCTACCAACATGCTGCAACAATGATACAAGTATGCTCCTGCCATGCTACCAACATGCTGCAAGAATGATACAAGTATGCTCTTGTCATGCTACCAACATGCTGCAACAATGATACAAGTATGCTCTTGCCATGCTACCAACATGGCTACCAACATGGTGCGGCTGTGCTACAGCCATGCTGCAAGCATGCTGCAGCAATGATACAAGTACGGCATGCTTTAGCCAAGTTACAGAAAGCCATGCTACAGCCAAGCTCCCCATCCTGGAAACATGACGGCAAGGCGGTCGGGGTCCTGTGCGTCCTTGATCAGCTGCTGCACCTGGTAGCCGTAGAGCAAGGCATGGAGCAAAGCAGTGCAGCAAAGAAGTGGAGAGATGCATTGCAATGACAGGGAGCAGGGGTGAGGGGCCAAACAGAGATGCAGGCTGATGGCAATGAGAAGAGGTGAACAATGCTATACTTAGGAACATAGATGCACCCATTTTGACAGTTATATATGCTAGCTGCCCAACCTTTTCTACAATGCTTCCCCACCTGCCTGGTCATGCTTGCCCACCTGCCCGGCCATGCTGCCCCACCTGCCTGGCCAGCCAGGCTACGCATCTCACCAACAGTTACATATGCCCCTTGCACTACCTACACGCTACCATGCTGCCCCACCTGCCTGGCCAGGCTACGCATCTCGCCGTCCTCAAAGCCGTCCAACTTCTGCTTGACTCGCAGCAGCGCTCTCGTGGACAGCTACATATGCTACTTGCATTACCTGCCCACTGCACCATCTGCCCCACCCTGCTGCCTCACCTGCCCAGCCAGGCTGCGCATCTCGCCGTCCTCAAAGCCGTCGAGCTTTTGCTTGACTCGCAGCAGTGCCCTCGTGGCCTCCTCGTTGCCCTCCATCGCTGCCCCGCTCTCCTCCTCCGTCCCCTCCTCCTCCATCGCCTCCTCACTCTCCTCCATCTGGGGACCCGTGCAGTGACACACAAACAGTGCCATGCGTGCAATGCCACGAGTGCAGAGCCACACATGCAGTGCCACGAGTGCAGAGCCACACATGCAGTGGCACGCGTGCAGTGCCACGGATTGAGAAATTACCAGACAGAGATTGAGACAGGTGGCATGGTAGCTTGGTAACAATGCACGAGCAAGTGGAAACTGGTGAAAGAAAAAGGGATCAGTGGAATGATACTCACTTGAGTGTAATGGAAAGGTGCAATGAGTGTGTAAGATGAGGGCAAGAAGGCACCTTCTGTCGATGCAGCGCCTTAAGCGGAGAGAGGGCCCACTTGTAAAGAGGATCATAGATGAACACCTACAGGGGCACACAGGGCGCCGGTGGCATGCAGGATGGCAGGGGGACACATTCTTTGAATACCTCTTGTACCATATCCTGCATAAATCAACATGGTCTGGTAGCTATTGGCACCACTAGCCTCAATGATGGTCAGCAGCGCCTCCTTATTCTCTTGCATCACTGCCAGCACCGTCTCACAGCAGCGCTGTCTAGCGTGGGTGCACTTGCTATTGTGACAGCAGCGCTGTCTAGCATGGGTGCACTTGCTATTGTGACAGCAGCGCTGTCTAGCATGGGTGCACTTGCTATTGTGACAGCAGCGCTGTCTAGCATGGGTGCACTTGCTATTGTGGCAGCAGCGCTGACTAGCATGGGTGCACTTGCTATTGTGACAGCAGCGCTGACTAGCATGGGTGCACTTGCTATTGTGACAGCAGCGCTGTCTAGCATGGGTGCACTTGCTATTGTGACAGCAGCGCTGACTAGCATGGGTGCACTTGCTATTGTGACAGCAGCGCTGACTAGCATGGGTGCACTTGCTATTGTGACAGCAGCGCTGACTAGCATGGGTGCACTTGCTATTGTGACAGCAGCGCTGACTAGCATGGGTGCACTTGCTATTGTGACAGCAGCGCTGACTAGCATGGGTGCACTTGCTATTGTGACAGCAGCGCTGACTAGCATGGGTGCACTTGCTACTGATCAGGGTCCTGCATCGCATCACTCACTCCACTCCACTCCACTCACCTCCACTCACCTCCACTCACCTCGATGATTGTCAGCAGTGCCTCCTTGTTCTCCCTCATCACCGCCAGCACCGTCTCACAGCAGCGCCGAAACACCCCCTCCACGCCGCTCACGCCCATGCCGTCTATGATGTCCCGCGTGAGGCGGAAGGGCACCTGGCATGAAGGTGTGGAGCACACGGGAGTGCGAGAGTGGTGTACATGAACCTCACCCCAAAGAATTGGTGAGTGCCCAGCTCCACCTCAGTGCCGTCCTCGCAGTCTGTGGCCACCACTGTGAGCTCCTCCTGCTCGCTGCACCCCTCCTCGGCCTCGTAGAACGCACGGCACATGACGAACGGCGCCCAGCTGAGCCCGTCCTTCACGGAGGTTGGAATCACGTGGTGCACGATTATGGGTTCCTCGCGCTACCAGTGCTGCTGGATGTGCACCACGGCTGTTCATTGAGTGTCCAGCAGAACAACAAATATGCAGTATAGGTCAATCATCACTCCGAGTCATGAATGATTCACCTTCCACTTGAACTTGCCACTTTACTTTTGAAACACACCCCACCTCCGTATATGCTTCCACGCACTTAACAAACCCCAATAAATCTCCCTGAATTAACACTACTGATCAAAGCATCCACCTATCATTATCGGGCGACTTGAGCATGAGGCCCTTCCTGAACGGAGGCAGAGGTCGATGCGCATTGTGCACCACCTCTGGTGACTTCACCACCCATGGTGAGTGCACCTAGCCTTCCAATCAACCTACATGCACACACTACACTTACAGCCACCCACCCATGCACACACTACACGTACAGCCACCCACCCACACACGCACCTTCTCAGGCGTCTTGAGCATGAGCCCCTGCTCGAACGCAATCCCCAGGTCGATGTGCACCACCTCTGCTGACCGCTCGTCCACCAGAATGTTCATCGCATGCCGGTCCCCCAGCCCCACCACGTACCCCACCTGCCATAGAGCACACGAGGCAGGACAGTTAGGGGCACAAGGGTTAGACACTTCACGTTCACAACCGGGGTGAGGTGCTGCAGAATGTTCATCGCGTGCCAGTCCCCCAGCCCCTCCGCATACCCCACCTGGTGTGATGCACACAAGGCAGGTCCGGGGGTGAACAATGGTTGCATGCTTCATTGCAGGGGTACCTTGTTCCACAAGGGCGAGGAGCTTCACAAGGGTGAGGAGCTTCACAAGGGTGAGGAGCTTCACAAGGGTGAGGAGCTTCACAAGGGTGAGGAGCCTCACAAGGGTGAGGAGCTTCACAAGGGTGAGGAGCTTCACAAGGGTGAGGAGCTTCACAAGGGTGAGGAGCTTCACAAGGGTGAGAGGTGAGGGTTCAAAGGCTCATGTGGAAATGGGCAGGGTAAGGCGAGCCATGTGCCCTGTGCTATGCACCGTGCCATTGAATGGCTCGCATGCAGCCTCGTGCATGCACTGTCATGCCATGGAGGTGGCATGACATGCGTACCATGCACTGTCACTTACCATGGAGGTGGCATGACATGCGTACCATGCACCGTCACTTACCATAGAGGTGGCATGACATGCGTACCATGCACTGTCACTTACCATGGAGGTGGCATGACATGCGTACCATGCAATGTCACTTACCATGGAGGTTGCATGACATGCGTACCATGCAATGTCACTATGGAGGTGGCATGACATGCGTACCATGCACAGTCACGTACCATGGAGGTGGCATGGCATGCGTACCATGCACTGTCATGTACCATGGAGGTGGCATGACATGCGTACCACCATGCACTGTCACGTACCATGGAGGTGGCATGGCATGCGTACCATGCACTGTCATGTACCATGGAGGTGGCATGACATGCGTACCATGCACTGTCACGTACCATGGAGGTTGCAGCCACGCTGCGAGTGTATGTGAGGCGCCGGTCGAACCAGTTGGCAGGCAGCAGGAAGCGCTCCAGGAAGAAATGGCGCATCACAGGGCTGGAGAGCGGTGGACGGGGGTGCGGAGAGGTGGAAGGGGATGGAGAAGGTTCTAGGGATTTAGAGGGTGAACAGGTGGACAAGGGAACACACACCAACCGATGCGACCTACCTTCACATGAAACGGACGTAACACAAAGGTGAAGGGTAGGTGCTGAGTGTGAGGTGAGGAGAAAGGGGCTAACTGTGTGAGGAAAAGGAACCTTACTGGAAGTTCTGAAGAACCTTGTCGAAGGCTTGCCGCTTGTCACTTTCCTGTGCATGGATGGATGCACATATGGGTAGTGGGGGACGAGGGACAAGCAAGGAATGAGGGCATGGAGGTTTCGAGGCAAAGAAAGGGTAGATTAAACAAAACTATATTTGCAAGTAATCACGACGTTGCCGAATGAAGGAGTCGTGTATTGTCCCCCACCACTGTATTTTGGAGTCAAGATAAGCAACGCAAGGCTAAGGTTCCACTGGCCCACGCCCAACCAGATCAAATGGATAGCATGCCTTCACATCCCATCAAATGGATAGCATGCCTTCACATCCCATCAAATGGATAGCATGACTTCACATCCCATCAAATGGATAGCATGCCTTCACATCCCATCAAATGGATAGCATGACTTCACATCCCATCAAATGGATCGCATGCCTTCACATCCCATCAAATGGATCGCATGCCTTCACATCCCATCAAATGGATCGCATGCCTTCACATCCCATCAAATGGATCGCATGCCTTCACATCCCATCTTACCCGCGCCATCACTTCACGGCACGTCATGAATGGCCAATCAGAGCCCCCGTAGCGTGCGTGCGCCCCCCCCTTGCGAGTACTGGCCGCGTGGGTGGGGTGGGGAGAGAGGATGGGGCCGATGAGAGGATGGGGCCGATGAGAGGAGAGGAAATGCGAGCGGGCCATGGGGCAGAGAGTGTGGGGAAGAAGGGTCAGCAGGTGGTGTTGGGGAAAGGCGGGAGGGAGTAGGGGAGGCGGACAGAGGGTGAAAAGCAGAAGGCGGTTGTAGGGTTGATACGGAGCGATGTGCGCTGCAAGGCATCTTGTTCACGCGTGGATGGATGGGCGTACATGCCAAGTGGTCTTTGAGAAGTCTTAAATGCGAAGTGGGAACACTTTGTTGTGCATGCAATACCACAACCTCGGGGTGAGTGCCTGCACGTGTGCACACAAGCCAGCCCGCCGCCACCCCTGCTGCATGTGCTTTAGCCTCGGTTCTCGTCCACGCACCTTCCTAGAAGGTACTCCCCAAGCGGCAGGGTGCCATCCACCCACTCGAGCAGTCCTGCACTGGGAGTGAATGGTACCACCTGACAGGCCATGGGGGGGCGGGAGGGGGAGGGGGGAGGAGCAGAGGGAGGCAAAGGAAGGTGTTAGTTTCAGTCGAATAAAAAGTCACCAGCGCTGGGAGTGAATGGCACCACCTGAGAGGACATGCAGGGAGGGGAGAGAGGGGCGGCGAGAGCGGGGATGCAGTTGGGGCAGGAGCAGGAATGATAGGTGCGAGGTGGTAAGAGGAGGTGGGCGAATGGCAGAGGTGGTGATTGGAGTCGAATGGGAGAGAGGCATGCAGTCTGTTGTTGCTGACGTGACCCATGCCACCCGTGCGACCCGTGCGACCCGTGCGACCCGTGCGACCCGTGCGACCCGTGCGACCCGTGCGACCCGTGCGACCCATGCGACCCATGCGACCCATGCGACCCATGTGCCTCCTGCAGGGACGCACCTTGTAGGTGCGGATGGCGAGGTGGCGCCTGGTGGCCCCCTCGTGGGCTTGCAGCAGCGAGTTCACCAGCCCGAACAGCTGCTCCATCACCTGGTGTGGCGCGGTGGGGAGAGGTGGGGAGAGGTGGGGAGAGGGGGGGAGTGGTGGGGAGAGAAGAGGTTGGGGAGATTGGGATGAATAAGAGAGTTTACTAGCCCGAACAGCTGCTCCATCACCTGGTGGGGCGCGGTGGGAAGAGGTGGGGAGAGATGGGAAGTGGGGAGAGAGGGGGGGCGAAGAGAGTGGGGAAGTCAAAGAGTTCACGAGCCGCAGCAGCTGCTCCATCACTGGTGGGGCGCCGTGGCAGTGGGGAGAGAGGGCGGGTGAGGAACAAAGAACATAATCATAGGGGAGAGAGGGCGGGTGAGGAACAAAGAACATAATCAGAGGGGAGAGAGGGCGGGTGAGGAGCAAAGAACATAATCAGAGGGGAGAGAGGGCGGGTGAAGAGCAAAGAACATAATCAGAGGGGAGAGAGGGCGGGTGAAGAGCGAAGAACATAATCAGAGGGGAGAGAGGGCGGGTGAGGAGCAAAGAACATAATCAGAGGGGAGAGAGGGCGGGTGAAGAGCAAAGAACATAATCAGAGGGGAGAGAGGGCGGGTGAGGAACAAAGAACATAATCAGAGGGGAGAGAGGGCGGGTGAGGAGCAAAGAACATAATCAGAGGGGAGAGAGGGCGGGTGAGGAGCAAAGAACATAATCAGAGGGAGGGCTGAAAGAAGCGACCCACAGCGTCCTGGCGCAGGTCATCATTGCCCGACTTGGCGAGCTGCTTGTACACACGGCCGTCCGACCCCATGCACTCCCGGCCGACCCCATGCACTCCCGGCCGACCCCATGCACTCCCGTCCCGGCCGACCCCACAAACCCCATTTGATAGGCTCAGAGGATGCTGCCTTGCCATGCCATGCCACTCACAGCGTCCTGGCGCAGGTCATCGTTGCCCGACTTGGCGAGCTGCTTGTACACACGGCCGTCCGATCCCACACACTCCACCACCTTTGGTGCGTTCACCCCGTGCATCACCCTGGTGAAGGGGCGTACCGTAAGGGGGAAGTTCGGGGGGAAGGAGGAGGAGGAAATCAGCGTGCTTGATGTGCGAATGGATGACCGTCTGACCCCATGCTCTCCACCACCTTGAGTGCGTTCACTTTGTGTATCACCCTGGTGGGACAGAGCAGTTGGGCCGGAACAGGGAGGAGTTACGTGGAGGAAAGAGCAGGGCAGGGTGCTTGCTTGGAAAGGCATGGCCGTATAGGCACATACACTCCACCAACTTGGATGCATTCACAGTGTATCAGCTTGGTGTGACAGGCCGTGGGGAAAGGGAGGGGGGGATGAGGATGAGGATGAGGATGAGGAGGAGGAGGAGGAGGAGGAGGAGGAGGAGGAGGAGGAGGAGGAGGAGGAGGAGGAGGAGGAGGAGGAGGAGGAGGAGGAGGAGGAGGAGGAGGAGGAGGAGGAGGAGGAGGAGGAGGAGGAGGAGGAGGAGGAGGAGGAGGAGGAGGAAGAAGAAGAAGAAGAAGAAGAAGAAGAAGAAGAAGAAGAAGAAGAAGAAGAAGAAGAAGAAGAAGAAGAAGAAGAAGAAGAAGAAGAAGAAGAAGAAGAAGAAGAAGAAGAAGAAGAAGGAGAAGAAGAAGGGGGCATGTATTATGTAAAAAGCAGGTATACTGACACCTTGTGACGACGTTTGAGAAATCTAAAAAGAAAATCTCCAAGAGTCAATAGAGAGTAACACGTTGCCCACTCACCGCATGCTGTCCTTGAGTCCGCAGAAGGCAGGGAAGGAGCCCGGGGCATAGCAGCAGGTTTGGTCCACAGGCACCGAGGCTGTGAGCACGGGAACCTGGGGGCAGGCAGCAGGAGGAGAGGGGGCCTCACGTGCGTGCGGTGAGGACAGGAGGAGATGGTTTTTGAGGAGCCTCAGAACTCCACAGGCACCGAGGCTGTGAGCACCGGCACCTGGGGGTGGGTGGCAGGGGGGCAGAGAGAGCTGACCATCATAGGGAACTGACAACTGAGGGAAGGTGGCAAGGGCCGGGAGATTAATCTGCATAGGCGACCGGCCCATCATATGAAGACGTTGAAAGTCGTTCACAGAAGTTGAACACAAAGATGCTCGGCCAGGTACAGCCAGGTACAGCCAGGTACAGCCAGGTACAGCCAGGTACAGCCAGGTACAGCCTGCACGCCTGCTGTGCATGACAATCGTGGCTGTGACACACTCAGCATCGCCGGCATGCTGTTGTACACAAGTGAAATCTACAACAACGGGTTTGAGAGTTCTCAATAGTGAATGACAATTGTGGTTCAGAAGAATACCCCAGCACTACCACCCGCATTCTGCTTCCCAGGCCACCACTCACCCGCAAGAGGTCCCTGACGCTGCGGAAGTTTCTCGGTAGCTGCTTTGAACGCATGAGATCCTGAGGCGAGTGGGATGGTGGAAAGAAAGTGGATTGCAGATTCACAGACAAGAACACGGAGAGGAAAGTGGAAAGCGGTGGTCCGGTGGAGCAAGGAGAGAAGTGCAGCAGACTGCAAGTGACTGTGACAGCAACAAGCATGCGCGAGGTGAGACCCTGAGGACGAAGCATCCCATGTGGAATAGACAACCACCATCTACCTCCTCACACTCTGTAACCGCATTCCACCGCACCGCACCCACCTCCTTGCTGGACTCCAGCTCCGCTAGGCGGATGTACAGATCCATCAGCTGCTGCATCTGTGGGGACATACAAAGGAAGGGGTGGTTTGGTTGGCAGGCAAGCGGGTTGAGTGAAGATGGCGCATTGGGGAGATGTGGGGCACACCACAGGACGAATGAGGGCGGCATTCCATATCCACATATCCATCAGCTGGTGAATTCTGGGGGAAGATAGAAGGGGCGGTTTGGCTGGCAGACAGGCAGGTAGGGCGAGGATGGGCGGGAAGCAAGATGAAAGAGGAATGGTGGGCTTGGCTCTTCTCTTCACCAGTAGCTGCATGAAGCAGCTGCACCACACAGTCCTTGGAGGCACCACACAGTCCTTGGAGGCACCACACAGTCCTTGGAGGCACCACACAGTCCGTGGAGGCACCACACAGTCCGTGGAGGCACCACACAGTCCTTGGAGGCACCACACAGTCCGTGGAGGCACCACACAGTCCTTGGAGGCACCACACAGTCCTTGGAGGCACCACACAGTCCTTGGAGGCACCACACAGTCCTTGGAGGCACCACACAGTCCTTGGAGGCACCACACAGTCCTTGGAGGAACTAATACCAGCACGCTTACAGTTGTATCAGACCCGATGAGTTGACTTTCGAGTCGACTCAAAAGTCAACTCGGATCAGACGATATGGCAGCAAGCCTACTTTCTTGTCTTACCTCATCCAGCATGGGCTTGTGCCGCTCAGCCATGCCGCCCAGGACAGCCTTTGCCGCCCGGATCTTGTCCTCATCCACGACAAAGAGGTTGCGCCCGCGCTGGCTGCTACGCACCCTGTTGCCATTGGCCAGCGCCATGAGCTGCGGAGAAGGGGGAGGGCGGAGGGTGGAGGTGGGTAGGTAGGGGTTGGGTTGGAGGGGAGAGAGGGGAGGGGAGGGGAGTGTTGAAACAAGTCGGAGGAGTTTTTGGGGCATAGTGTGTGCACTGCGGTGCTGTGTAGGTAGGTGTGAGCCAGGCTTCGAATGCTGTGATTTTTTATGAAGCATGGCCGAACATGGGGTGACTGAGTGCGTACCACAGGCACGGTGTGCAGGGGATGGTCGTCCGCCATTCGCTTGACGAGCGTTGTCAGCACTGACTGTGGGTGGGGAGAAAGTAAGGCATGATGTTGGGTTGGGAACATGGACGGGGGGAGAGCTTCAGCAAGAAGAAGATCTTCTGCCAACTTCCGTCAGCACAAACAATGCTTGACGCGTAAGTAACCCGTTGACTCATCGAAATCACTTTTGAGAATTCTCAGACGCGTAAGTAACCCGTTGACTCATCGAAATCACTTTTGAGAATTCTCAGACGCGTAAGTAACCCGTTGACTCATTGCAAAAGCCGAGGGTGCGCAATAGCACATTTGCCCGCACAGCACACCTGCATTGTGCATGAGGCTCTTACAGCAGCATGCATACATGTGTTTGAAGAAGTGTTTTGAGGTGACGTCTCAAAACGCCTGCATTGTGCAAGAGCTTCTTACAGCAGCATGCACGCAAGTCGAGCATGCTGATTCAGCGAGGACATGCACTGCATTGTGAACGTCTAACACGGAGAGCGAGTGCAGAGAGCAATAGCAGAGAGCGGAGGAGTTTTCATGCATACATACATGACCGAACAAACAGCTGAAGTGGTCAAATTGGGCAATTGGGGTAGAGTTGGTCAGATTTGAACAGGCAAGTGTGATAGCCTTGGAAAGCTGAGCTGAACGGACCACCCACCTGGAAGTCGGGTGTCTCAGGGTGCAGCGGCGGTGAGCCGTGGGGGTCTCGCTCGCTCATGCGTGATGCCATCTGGTACACGAGTGGCAGGAACTTGTATGACGGCACCTGGAGAGGGGAAGGGCGAGGCAGGGCAGGGGGTGGCAATTGAGTGGGAAAGGAGGGCGTGGGTGGCTTCAAGTGGGAGGAATGCGGGAGGGCTCTGCTAGAAGCAGGGGAGCACGTGCTGCTAGAAGCAGGGGAGCATGTGCTGCTGCACGTTCTTCAGCCCCTATTGGGGGTGGACGTTGGCCATTCTTGGTCTCATTGGTTACTCGCATACACGTGCTCGCAGAGAAATTTTCGCCACGAAAAAATGATGCATCTGTGACTGAGAAGCGAAATGACTGACCGTCTGGATGGTTGTGAGCATCTCCGCATTGACTGCGTCAGCCGTGGCATCGTTGAGCAGCGTGAACCAGAGCGCTGTCAGGCGAAACACCTGTGGGCATAGAGGCGGGGGGGGGGGGGGGAGATGACAAGAAGTTGACTTTTGAGTCGACTAAAAAATGGTTGTGAGCATCTCCGCATTCACTGTGTCCGCGTTGGTATTTTTGAGCAGCGTGAACCAGAGCGCTGTCAGGCGGAACACCTGTGGGCGTGCGGGCGAGTGGGCAAGGAAGAAAGGAGGAGAGGCAGGGTGTGGTGGTTGGAAACAAAAATGAGCGCTAGGCAAGGTGGGAACGGGGAGGTGCTATTGGTGGAAAGGTGCATGCGAACCAATCAGCTACTGTCACGTTCTCAGCTTGTTACCACCCTGATGCAGCACAGCACAGCCGGATCGCTTCCAAATGTTACTGCTCGCAGCTCATGTGTATCATCACTTTGATACGTCCTCCACTGAGACGTCAACAGTAGCCACTTTGATGGTTACCAACCACTTCAGCAGTTAACAATTCAACAGTTACCACTTCGACAGTTACCACTTCAGCAGTTACCACTTCAACAGTTACCACTTCAACAGTCACCACTTCGACAGTTACCACTTCAACAGTTACCACTTCAACAGTTGTTACCACTTGAACACTTACCACTTCAACAGTTACCACTTCAACAGTTACCACTTGAACAATTACCACTTCAGCAGTTACCACTTCAGCAGTTACCACTTCGACCGTTACCATTTCAACAGTTACCACTTCATCAGTTACCACTTCAACAGTTACCACTTCAACAGTTACCACTTCAACAGTTACCACTTCAACAGTTACCCCTTCAACAGTTACCACTTCAACAGTTACCACTTCAACAGTTACCACTTCAACACTTACCATTTCAACAGTTACCACTTCATCAGTTACCACTTCAACAGTTACCACTTCAACAGTTACCCCTTTGATGTTGAACGTGTCGGCCGCCAGAAGGCAGTTCCTGTAGTTCTCGAGAGCAGCACGTAGGTACATGTCATGCTCTCCCTGCACTCACCACCGCACAGCACAGCACCGCACCACAGAGCAGAGCAGAGCAGAGCAGAGCAGAGCAGAGCAGAGCAGAGCAGAGCAGAGCACAGCACGACACGGCACGGCACGGCACAGCAAGGCATACAGACGGGAGCCGTAGAGGAGACCACAGGACCCGTTTCAGCGAACACAAGGCAGAGACTGGCAAGCATATTAGGGTGTGGTGCTTCCCTGTGTTTGCACCTTTGTAAACTTTGATAACAAGCAGTTTTGGCTTATAGCCTTCTGCGGACTAACCAAGGATGGTAGGTGGATGGAGCACCGGATGGCAGGCAGGAGGGATGGCAGGGAGGAGGAATGGCAAGGTGCGGGGGTTGCACCTGCAGGTCGTTGGCCTCCTGGTCGTCCATGCTCAGCTGCTTCTGTAGCTCCATCATCTTCATCCCGTACACCCGCCTCTCGTCCTCCTGATACGAGGTGGGTGCCGTGCGGTGCAATGCGGTGCCATGCGTGCGGTGGGGTGAGGCAGTGTCAGTCATGTCAAGTCCGGAAGAGGATCTTGTTGGGTTGACTTGATAGTGGATGTGCGTGGACACAACAAGCGAGCAGGGTGCAGTTCAGAAGAGAGGTGGGGGGCACAGCGGGCACCGCGGGCACAGCCGGTACTCACTCGTCTAGAAGCCTTTAGTCGCTTTGTCATCTCCTCCAACTCCTTCCGCTGCCATGCCATGCCATGCCAGGAAGGCAGAGAGAGAGGGGGTGGAGGGCAGTCAAGCAGAACATGGGACGACAGAGGTGAGCAGATGAATAGGTGAGAGCAACTCGCATGTTCCCAACTCCACACTTCCCGTGCCGTGCGTCTTGTGTGCACTTCCCGTGCCGTGCGTCTTGTGTGCACTTCCCGTGCCGTGCGTCTTGTGTGCACTTCCCGTGCCGTGCGTCTTGTGTGCACTTCCCGTGCCGCCATGCCTCGCTACCGCCCCACCTTGTGCCTCACTCTCACTCTCACTCTCACTCTCAATCGCAATGCACCTTGTGGTTTGTGAGATCCTGTGCCGCACGCCACTGCTGCGAGTGCAGCCGAGTATGCAGCACCACAAACAGCCCATCCACGTAGCGCGCCATTTGAAAATGCACCTCTCCCCACTGCCGCCGCTGCTGCCACTGGCCTTGCTCCCCCCCCTGTCCCCCCTGCTCCCTCTCACCCCCCTGCTGCCCACCATATCCCCCTTGCTGCTGCTGCTGCTGCTTCCACTGCCGCTCCTGTTTCTGCTGGTGCCAGTTATTGGCGAACGGAAGGGAGGCATAGCTTGGGGGTGCAGTGGCAGCAGCAGCAGCAGCAGAGGGCGAGGCGGAGTGTGAGGCAGTGGGCGGGTGGGTTGTGAGGTCCACTGCGCGCCACAGGTAGTCATTCAGTACCACCCGCGAGCTGGTGGGCGTCGGACAGGAGAATGAGATAACAGAAGCGAGAGGGGAGAAGGAACGACGGGAACCCCAGAAAGTTAAGGGAAACCAATGCAACAGCTTCGAACGTTAGAGAGAGAGAAGAATTAAGGATTGAATTTTGGGCCAATGGCAGCTGTCGAACAAACAGTGCACTTCACTCCATGAGCATCAAGATTCAAAGATCCATGCACACAACTTTTGATTGTGGAAAGATTCAATCCCGCTTTATGATGCTCATCTCAGCTGTGAGTGGCAATGAATCCCGTTTCCCACGCCTCTAGCCTCCCACTCCAGCCCAACCTTATAGAGCGCGTCTCCCCAAGCCACTTGGCCGCCAAGCCGAGCGTGTAGACGCGGTCAGACACTGGTACACATGCAGCAGCAACAGTGGTAACAGCAGCAGTGGTAACAGCAGCAGTGGTAACAGCAGCAGAGGCGGCAGAAGGTGAAGCAGACCCCTGGGAAGCGTGCGGTGGCAGGTCTGGGCGCAGCAGGTGCTGCAGCAGGCGCACGGCCATGTCCTGCTGCCCTTCCAATGCCAGCAGCTTCGCCTCCTCCACCCGCCCACAGAATGCCACCCCCTCCACTCCCCACGTCCCCTCCTCTGCCGATGCTGTGGCAGCGCTGCTTGTTGGTGGCAGGTGCGGCACAGTGGTGGGTGTGTGGCTGCGTGCTGTGAGGGTGCGGCAGGCATCCTTGAGATGTTGCACCTGCACTGCTGCCTGGCTCAGAAGGCGCGCCTGGTTGGGAGGGAGAGGCATGGGATGAACGGAGAGGCATGGGATGAACGGAGAGGCATGGGATGAACGGAGAGGCATGGGATGAACGGAGAGGCATGGGATGAACGGAGAGGCATGGGATGAACGGAGAGGCATGGGATGAACGGAGAGGCATGGGATGAACGGAGAGGAATGGGATGAACGGAGAGGCATGGGATGAATGGAGAGGCATGGGATGAACGGAGAGGGGTGGGTGAAAGAGAGAGGGAAATTAGGGAGGGTGCCACAATGGTTTGTTGCAGCAGAGAGAAATTAGGAAGAGTGACATACGATGAATGGAAGGTGGAGAGAAGTGAAGAAGAAGAAGAAAGCATCCAACGCATGTGGAATCAGGAGCACGGCAGTCAGCAGCAGGGCAGTCAGCAGCAGGGCAGTCAGCAGCAGGGCAGTCAGCAGCAGGACAGTCAGCAGCACGGCAGTCAGCAGCAGGGCAGTCAGCAGCAGGGCAGTCAGCAGCAGGGCAGTCAGCAGCAGGGCAGTCAGCAGCACGGCAGTCAGCAGCACGGCAGTCAGCAGCACGGCAGTCAGCAGCACGGCAGTCAGCAGCATGGCAGTCAGCAGCACGGCAGTCAGCAGCACGGCAGTCAGCAGCACGGCAGTCAACCCACCTTGCGGCAGAGGCTGGCAGCCTCCAGCAGGTGCAGCGGCAGGGCGTTATGCTGCCCACTCGCACGCAGATACGCCCCCCGACAGCTCAGCAGCGGCTCCTGTAACTCGAAGCTGCTCCCACACGCTGCCAGCTGGCGCTGCCACGTGTGCAGCTGCAACAGAGGGGGGGGGGGGAGGAGAATTAGGGTAATGTGGGCGGGAGAATATGATGTGAATGAACTGACGAGTGTGTGGGCGAGTGGGCGTAGGGTAGGTAGAGAGGGTTCGGGCAAGGGAAGCAGCGTTTCATGTAGGCACAAGGAGTCATGCATAAGAAAGAAAGTAGTATACAGACATCCAAATGAGGCCAACCTTGTTGTGCAGCTTTTGCTCACTCCCGACTCAATCGTATCGAAACCAATCTCAGTAGCTTCTTTGTTGTGATTCAGCAGTTGTATTCCCCACTCCTGCATTCCCCATCCATCCCTGCCTTGCCCACCTCTGTGTGCCGTGCCTGCCCTGCGTGAATGGGCGGGCCCCCTCCACGGGCGAGTGTGGGAGCTGCTGCCTCTCGAACGTTCTCCAGGGCCTGAATGACACAGGGAGATGGGGATGAGTGGGGGAAAGAGTGTGTGCAGTGCAGCTGTGGCCGTAAAAAAAAAGTTGCTAGTTGCTCACACCCGAGATGGATCGTTGTGGGAGCAGGAAGGCAGAACGGGACGGGTGAGACACTTAGACAGCCACACGAAAGAGCTGGGGGAAATCAGTTTTGATAGGGACGAGCAAAAGGTAAGAGTCAGGGAGGAGGGGGAGGGGGAGGGGAGGAACAGGGAATGGAACGATGATGGTGGATGGAAGGTAGGCGGCGCTGAGAGGGAGGAGAATGGGGGATGAGAAGATGGGTGGACGAGTGGATGAGTGGATGGGGGAGTCTGGCTGACCTGGAGGAGGATGAGGCGTGAGTTGATGTGGAGGGCACTCTCTGCTGACATGGACGCCAGCTGGCACACAATAGTCTGTGACACGGTGACATTGGGTGGAGGAAAACATGTGTGAGCGAGTGAGTGCATGCGACGATGCTTGATGTGCAGAGCAGGTAGACATGCGCAGATGAATGACTCTTTGAGAAGTAAGAAAAACGGGTAATGCTGCAGTGGGAAGAGTGCGCAAGGGTGTGTGTGAGAGCACAGTTGTGTGTGGAGGGAGGGGTGGGGGTTGCATTGGATGGACGGACATGGAATGGAGCATGGGGTATTTTGAAGAACGTGAATGCTCGTAAGTGCATTTTGAGAAAGTGGCGCAAGATAGCACGTGCATGTGCTGTACTGGAAGAGCAAGTTTATTGAGTTGAGTGAGAGTGTTCATGACAGGGAGGAGCCGAGGCTGGCAGCACCTGCTGAGCAGCAACAGCAGCGGCGGCAGCGGAAGTGCAGTCGTCATCATGAAGAGCCTTGAGAGCACTGTCGGGAGAGGGCGATGGATGGGTGGACGAGGAGAGAGGGGAGCGGGTGGAAGCATGGAGGAGGAAACGATGGGGAGCGATGGGGATGGGATGTTCACTGCTGCAGCGCACCTGTAGTGCTCACGCTCGAAACCAGCAAGCTGCAGCGGACACGGGCGGCACAGGAACACAGGCGGAAGAAAGGGCTGCTGCAGCGCACCTGTAAAGCGCAGCGTGGAAGCCAGCAGCAGCGCCGCCAGGCATGGCCATGGCAGACGTGGTGGTGCTGCTGCTGCCTGGTGGGGCTGTGAGTGTGACAAAGGGGGCGCCGCTCTCTAAAGGAGGCTGCAACACACCTGTAGAGAGCGGCGTGGAAGCCAGAAGCAGCACCAGGCATGGTGGACGCAGTGGTGCTGCTGCTGCCAGGTGGGGCTGTGAGTATGAGCAAGGTGGAGGGCGGGTAGGGTGACGAGTTGGACGAGTCCGGGAGCTGAGCTGCTGGCAGGTCCCACTTGCCCATCTTCCAGGCAGCTTCGTACTGCAGATGAGAGGGATGAGATGAGGGGTGCGGAACAACAGCAGGGATAAGACAGGAGAGAGAGATTGTGTGTGGGTGTGAACAGAGAGACCGGGTTGAGTTGAGATAAGACTGTAGCGTCGTTGCTGCCAAGCCAAGAAGAAATTCTGGGCGAAAGAGGCACATGAGAGCGTGAACGTTCACTTCACAGACATGTAATATTTCTCATTGACCATATGATACCACGTGCGTGAGTGCGGGAGAAGGGACATGCTGGGCGGTGCAAGAGGTGGGCATGTTGTGGATGACATTGGTAACAAAAGGGAACTTGGACACAAAATCAAACCTGAAGCTCGAGAAAATCCGTTCTTTCTGTCCCAAGAGCTCCATGCACCGCCCCTCCAGCAGCACCTGCTGTGCCCACAGCAGCACCGGCAACAACACCAGCACCCCCAGCGGCAGCATCAGTGGCAACAGCAGCAGAAGGTGCTGAGACGGCACCGCGGCAGTACGCTTGCAACACGTGGGAGCATGCCATGTGCTGCAGTGCTGCCACCACTCCCTGCTGCGCCCACTGCCCCTGCCACTGTGACTGTGACTGTAACGAGGGCACTGCAGGAGTAGCACCAGAGGAAAGAGCAGCACCAGCAGGTGCAGGGCGGTGGGACATGGCATGGTCCAGCGTCTCTAGAACCTTCTCCCATCGCCCCTCGTGGCGGTCGATGGCCAGACGGGACGGAAGCTGCATGCATGCATGGGCACGCAGGGAGAAAGAGGACGGAAAGTCAGACCAGCCCGTCCCGACACACTAAGGGCAGTTCGGGGCATTGTCATGCGTGAGTAGTGTGGTACAGATGCTATGCAGCGATATTTGAGCTGAGTGCATTGCAGTTTCCCCCCCCCCCCCCCCCCCCTCCCCTCCCCCCTTCCCTCTCTCCGTTGCGTGCGCACCTTGTTGGTGCGAGCGACGGCATAGATGGCATCAAGCTCATTCACAGCGCTGTAGCAAGGTGACTCTTGTGTCGCCTCGAAAACAAAAGCCACGCCTCACATTCCACGCGCACCTTGTTGGTGCGGGCGACAGCGTAGATGGCATCGGGCTCGTTCACGGCACTGTAGCACCCCATCAGCAGCGCCTCGTGGGGCTCCACCTGCCAGCAGAGCAGAAGAGGGAGGATCTTAGAAGGTGATGTGGGAGAGGAGAGAATCGCCATTGGCAGGAAGTGCGCATTGAGGGTAAGGGGAGGGAAAGGTGGGGGAAAGAGCACAACACAACAGGTGTCGAGGCAAGATTGAAACTCCAAAGATCCAGAGCAAAGAAGCATGGCCGTTTCAACTGTGTATTAAGAAGACGCGGGGCTCCAGTGACCATCAGGTGTGTGCCTGTGGTTACCGCGTCGGAGTCTTCATCAAAGCTTGGTTCGCCGAGAGTGGGCCGTCCAAAGTGTGCCTCACACCAGAGCTCGGCATAGAGAATGGCCGTGAGTGTCGCACCACAGTGCTGCACAGCGGAAGGAAGCACGCGCGCATCAACACACACAGTGCACAGTGCTACAGCGCTCACACGGACGGTGCATTAGATGAGATGATGCAATGCTGCGTCTGCACTTATTCTGCTGGCCAATCCATCAAAGTCAGGTACATGACTAGGCAACACACAAGCAGCTTCCCTTTGTTCTACGTTACTTCTCTATGCCCCTCAGGTGAAGGTGCATGTGGGGGAGGTGTTACCTGTGCAGCCTGTGCCAGGGTAAGCAAGTCCAGTTGCAACCAGACAGGCTGAGACGGAGCAGAGGGAGGGAAGGCAGTCATGCACATACACATGCACACACACACATGTACACGAGGGGGGACGTAGAAAATATGGGAGACACATTTGGGGCGGCACAGAAGGAGGGTGGAGTGGAATGGATGAGAGGGCATGGGTGGGTGTGGCAGTGGGCAAGAACCAAGCAGACGAGATGGTCGCGTGCTGCCAAGGAGGCATGGAGGAAAAGGCAGAAGCAGGGAAGGAGGCACGGAGGCAAGGAGTGAAGGAAGCAAGGAGGCAAGGAGGCATGGAGGCAAAGTAGGCATGGAGGCAAAGAGACAAGAAGGAAGGAGGCAGGGAGGCAAAGGGGCAAAGAGGCAAAGAGACAAGTAGACAAAGGGGCAAGGAGGCAAGGATGCAAGGAGGCAAGAACGCAAAGAGGCAGAGATGCAAAAATGACAAGAGCCAAAGAGGCAAAAATGCGAAGAGGCAAAGAGACAAGGAGGTAAAGAGGCAAAGAGACAAGGAGGCAAGGAGGTAAAGAGGCAAAGAGGCAAGGAGGTAAAGAGGCAAAGAGGCAAGGAGGTAAAGAGGCAAAGAGACAAGGAGGTAAAGAGGCAAAGAGGCAAGGAGGTAAAGAGGCAAAGAGGCAAGGAGGTAAAGAGGCAAAGAGACAAGGAGGCAAGGAGGCAAGGAGGCAAGGAGGCAAAGAGGTAAGGAGGCAAGGAGGCTCACAGACTGCCAGTGCTGAGGAGCCTCTGGCTCGTCCTCATCCACTTCAGCCCCTTTCTCCTCTGCCCTCAGTTGAGCTGCACCTGCTTCTTCTGCTTCTGCCCCAACTGCTGGCCCCTCCTGCCCCCCTGCAGCAGACTCAGCAGCACTCTTCTTGGTCCCCCGTCTGCCCCCTCGTTTGCCCTTGCTGCTGCTGCCAGCCACGCCTGCTGCTGTGCGTGTAGAGGCCTCTGTGGTAGTGGAGGGAGCTGCTGCTGATGTTGCCTGGATGGAGGAAAGAAAGTGAGGAGGAGACGTGGGACAGACAGACGGATGAGAAGGGAGCAGCAAGAGGTGAGGAGCATTGCAGTGGAGTAAGGGAAACCGCTGTTTGAAAAAATAATGCGTGTTGTGGAAGGAAGAAGGCGAAGAGGAAAACAAGGGGAACTGAGCATGGCAGCAACAACACCAGGTACCAGAAAGTGGGGTGAGGAGAAGTAGAAGCACCTTGGCAGCACTCTTTCGAGCGCCCATGGCAGAGGCAGCAGCACGGGCAGCAGCAGCAGCAGTGGGGGGAGGGGCGATGCGAGCGCGGGTGTGGCAGGCTCTGAGGGCGGTGAGCGCGTCTAAGAGGAGCTGCAGCGTGCGCGGAGACACCGCATGCGCTGGCTGCAGCACGTGAGTGGTGAGCTGCAAGGAGGGAGGGGGTTGGGGCGGAGAGAGGAGTGCTTTGATAATAACTAAAAGTGTGGCAGGCTCTGAGGGCGGTGAGCACGTCTAAGAGGAGTTGCAGCGTGCGAGGTGGATGCAGCACGTGTGTGGTGAGCTGCAGGAGGGGTGGGGGTGGGGGAAGGGGGTGGTGGGAGAGAGTGTGGTTCTGACGATTCTTAAAGGGTGTGGCAGGCAGGCTCTGATCTGAGGGCTGTTAGCGCGTCCAATAGGAGCTGCAGGGGAGATACCCCCGCGCTGGATGCAGCACGTGGGAGGGCAGGGTGGTGTGAGAGGAGAGGCAGAAAGGAGGGGTTGAGAGGGGGACGGGGGACATTGAGGTTGAGCAGAATATGCAGTAGAAGCGGATGGGCAGGAAGGGGGGAGATAGTAGAGAGAGAAAGGGCACGAGAGGGGCGGAGGAGATGGGTTGACTTATTTTAGCAGAGGAGAGGGCGACCCACCTGGGTTGAGATAGTGCGGCAGAGGAGACTGGTGGGTGCATGCGAGGCAGCGAGGGTGGCGAGTGTGTGGGGGAGGAGCAGTGCAGCGAGTGAGGCGTTCACACGGCACAGCGGCGCACACAGACTGGGGGAAGTGGGGGGCGGGGTGGGAGGAGGGGAGCATTGGACAGGGTGGCTCGCAGAGAAAGGGAGTGAAGAAGGGAAGGAGACTTGCATGTTGGTGAGTGAGTGCTTGATGCAAACTGGGGAGGGACGAAGAGCGCATAATGCAGATAGGGAGGGCAGAGTCAGGCATGCACTCTACAGAACTGGCACAGGTTTCAAGATTCCGGTGATGGAGGGGAGAGACGAATGCTAGAATTCTCACTGTTCCTCGTTGATGGTAATGGAATGCTGCCTGGCAGGATTTGTAGGGTTCTCACAAGCCAACCAACTCTGCCAGCCACAATGCTAGTGCCACCCAGCACCCCAAACCATTCAAATTCGTCACTCACGTGAGAATGTCGTCTGGCGCGTGCAGAATGAGCAAATGCACCACGCGGCACACCCACGCCTCGTGAGATGCGCCCACTGCCTGCCACACTGCGGGGTCGTCCAGTGGAGGCATGGAGGCTGGAGAGAGAGAGCGAGGGACAGAGAGACAGAGAGACAGAGCGAGGAAGGTGTTTGAAAAGAGAAAAGACTGTTCGGAAAATGTGAGCGAGTGAGTGAGTGAGAGGGAGGCAGAGGCGGGAGGCGATTGATGAGCACGGCTCAATTGCCAGCAGCTCGAGACACGCACCTCCTGCATCGGCTCTTAGGCGCTGGATAATCTGCTGTGCATGGGCGGTGTTGACCGTCTTTATGTGCGCCTGGAGAAAAAGACAGCAGGGCAAGCAATAAACGATGGCGCCAGAGGGATTGGTGCGCGTGGCAGGATACAAACAGGTGGCTCTGACCAAAGCAGCACAGGATGGCAGCGGGCCGTCCAAGTCACAAACAGCAACTCACGCAAGACAAGGTACAACATTGGAGTTCAGGTCCGTCCATAGCAGCACCATCACCATGCACAACTTTTAGATCATCCGCGGCTCAGCTCAGCCCACCTCGAGGTACTGCTTCTCCTCAAAGCCTGTTGCAGTAAAGACCCGATGGCCCCTCTCTGTCATGAGAATGGCCTGCCGTGGAAGCGGGCAGCACAGCGCAGGGGCATGTGGTGGACAAGGGAATAGATGGATGGAAGCGAGTGCTCTGTGAGGCCCCTGAAACAGAAAGGACAAGCTGTGAAGTTACTGTCGAGAGCGATCCAACAGGCTTTTCAATGCACTGTGACACGGTGCAGTCGCAGCGCTGATGCAACAGGGAAGAGCGACGGATCTTGACTCAACAGCTTAAGCAGGCAGGAGGAAGGCAGGAGCAGAGCAAGCACCGGACGGACCTCGATTGTTTGTGCGGCGAGCTGAATGGCATGGACATCTGGATCAACAAGGAGGGTGGCCAGCAGCTTAAGCACCGATACAATCACCCCCTCGTGAACGCCCTCTCCTGCTGGATCCGCATTCACTACTGTCACACCACCCGTGGGTGCTGACACTGCTGTTGGTGCTGCTGTTGAAGTTGCTGTGGCTGGAGGCTTGAAGGAAACGGCGGAAGCATCCCATATCCCCAGCTGCCAGCAAGACACGATGACACAGCACAAGGATGGAAGGTAGTAAGGTATGTGGGGAAAGGAGCTAGAATGCAGGGATATTAGCATGCTGACGTGAACTAGCACATCCACGGACGAGCAAGGCTAGTCACTCACAGCAGCCAGAAGCCTGCCAAGGCATGCCCGGATGGTGCTCGTACAGGGGTCTGATTCGCTCAGCCGTCGTGACACCTGCAGCATCTGCCACGTGGCAGTAAGGGCCTCAGCAGAGGGGCGTGGCAGTCCATCCCCAGGCCCCCCTGCGTCCAGCTCACGACTGCTGCTGCCTGCTGCTCCCTCCACGCCTTTGGCTGCAGGGGCAGTTTCGTCGCACCAAAGGAGGTGCTTGGTGGAGGCGAGGTGGTTGCAGAGAGCTTCCAGACTGAGAGGGCAGGTGGGGGGAGGAGATGGGAGGGGAGATATGGGCAGTGGGAAGGCAGAGATAGTCATGGAAGATTGTTGGTCGGTTGATACTGCTGGGGGAAATGCAATGCACTTTGATTTGATATGGGCAGTGGGAAGGCAGAGATAGTCATGGAAGATTGTTGGTCGGTTGATACTGCTGGGGGAAATGCAATGCACTTTGATTTGATATGGGCAGTGGGAAGGCAGAGATAGTCATGGAAGATTGTTGGTCGGTTGATACTGCTGGGGGAAATGCAATGCACAGATGACCAATCAATCCTCACAACAGAAATTTCGCCCTCAAACCCCAGTCTAAAACAACACACAAGATTTGATCTGCACACCTCTGTGCGAGAACAGCTGGGGAGAGGCTGATGGCCCGAGATGCAAGCTGCAAGACGGTGGAGGGCGGGTAGGGGGGAGAAAGGGAGGGAGGGAGGGAGGGAGGGAGGGAGGGAGTGGGGGGGGGGGGAGGGGGAGGAGGAAAGAAAGAGCCCTAGAGTGAGGTGTGGGCAGTGGGCAGCATAGGCGACAGAGTTGGCAGTGAGGAAGGAACGAGGTCCGCGGACAGAAGAAAGCACACGCAGAAGCAGAAGTGCACGAGGTGCCTCAAAAGTCACAATCACAAGTAGACCCTTTTGAGGCGCCTCAAAAGTCACAATCACAAGTAGACCCTTTTGAGGCGCCTCAAAAGTCACAATCACAAGTAGACCCTTTTGAGGCGCCTCAAAAGTCACAATCACAAGTAGACCCTTTTGAGGCTGTCGTGAATCCCCTCTGCTGTCCCTTCCTTCTCACTCTCCCTTGCATCCCTGCCTGACTTCCTCACTCCCTCTCCCTCCACCTCTCATCCAGGTGACCGGCTCATCCCTTCTTCCTCCTGGCGTATGTAATCACTCTGTTCTGATCCCCTCCTCGTATCTCAGGCTTCCCTGGAAACAAGACTTAACTCCCTCGCAAGGGCTCCGCCGATTTGCTTCAGCTCCTCTCTACTGCTAGTTCCCCGTGGTTTAGGAAATCACAATTGCAGTAAACGAGAAACATACAAGCAAAAAGCAACGAGTCTGAGCGCTACCCCAGTCTACATCCCCTCCTGCCTAGGTGCCTTGTCCCGCAAGCTACCTCTACTCCTAAGCGCGAGTCAGCCGAGCTGATCGCGTAGGCTTCAAGGTGCTAGCTGGGTCCCACTCGGCCCACTAGGCATGCACCGCCTTCCAGCCTGGTGAATGGCGAATTGAATTCCCAGGCTGGCTGGAATCGAATTCGCCACCAACCTCCCCCCCAACCACCTCGAAATCCTCAGCAGCTCGACTCTGTATAGTACAGTAACATTCCAAAAGAGCAAACAAAGTAAAATGCAAAAAGCAGTAAACTATAGTACACCTCACCTTGGCTGCTGTGTAATTCACACTTAGTTGCCAGCTAAGTGTTAATCACGCGACAGCTGTCGTGAATCCCCTCTGCTGTCCCTTCCTTCTCACTCTCCCTTGCATCCCTGCCTGACTTCCTCACTCCCTCTCCCTCCACCTCTCATCCAGGTGACCGGCTCATCCCTTCTTCCTCCTGGCGTATGTAATCACTCTGTTCTGATCCCCTCCTCGTATCTCAGGCTTCCCTGGAAACAAGACTTAACTCCCTCGCAAGGGCTCCGCCGATTTGCTTCAGCTCCTCTCTACTGCTAGTTCCCCGTGGTTTAGGAAATCACAATTGCAGTAAACGAGAAACATACAAGCAAAAAGCAACGAGTCTGAGCGCTACCCCAGTCTACATCCCCTCCTGCCTAGGTGCCTTGTCCCGCAAGCTACCTCTACTCCTAAGCGCGAGTCAGCCGAGCTGATCGCGTAGGCTTCAAGGTGCTAGCTGGGTCCCACTCGGCCCACTAGGCATGCACCGCCTTCCAGCCTGGTGAATGGCGAATTGAATTCCCAGGCTGGCTGGAATCGAATTCGCCACCAACCTCCCCCCCAACCACCTCGAAATCCTCAGCAGCTCGACTCTGTATAGTACAGTAACATTCCAAAAGAGCAAACAAAGTAAAATGCAAAAAGCAGTAAACTATAGTACACCTCACCTTGGCTGCTGTGTAATTCACACTTAGTTGCCAGCTAAGTGTTAATCACGCGACAGCTGTCGTGAATCCCCTCTGCTGTCCCTTCCTTCTCACTCTCCCTTGCATCCCTGCCTGACTTCCTCACTCCCTCTCCCTCCACCTCTCATCCAGGTGACCGGCTCATCCCTTCTTCCTCCTGGCGTATGTAATCACTCTGTTCTGATCCCCTCCTCGTATCTCAGGCTTCCCTGCCCCCTCCCGTGACTGAGCACGCACCCGAGCTGCTCCAGACACGGGATCCAATGCCTGAGGCTTCTCCCTTCCCGCCCTGGCCACGTTGGTGATATGCTCCTTCAGGTACTCCCCTCGATCATCCTCCAGCACTAGCACCCCCGACTCCCTTACCTCTTTCACCCTCCATCGCTCCGGTCCCACAGCTAAGTCCAGCGTATCTCGCTTAGCCCTGCGCAGGTACACCTCCTGCCCCGCTTCCACTTGGTGACTCTTTCCTCCCATCCCTCCTGCTTTGCGCTGCTGGTACCGCCTTGCATCCCTCGCTGCGCCACGTGTAGATTATCCAAGGCAGCTGGAGTCAGCTCTTTCAGATACCTCGCCCTCTTCTCCGCTAATCCCGCCCACAGGCTCGGCTCGTCCGCTTCAATCGTCGCCGAGAGCAGCTTCGGTGCATCCACAGGTAGCACCGGGTCCCGTCCGTACAGTAGATGATACGGGGACAAATGCTTCAGCGCTGCCTGCTTCGCAAACCGGTATCCCGCAAGCACCCACCAGAGATCCCTGTCCCAACTCCTCTTGTGTGTCTCTCCATAGGCCCGAAGTCCTTTCTTCACGGTTTGTATGAGCCTCTCTGTCAGCCCGTCCGATTGAGGGTGATACCTTGAGGTGACACGATGCGTAATGCCCATCTCCTCTAGCAGCTCATCAAAGCTCCCTTGAAATTCTGTCCCTTGATCGGTAAGCACCTCCCCACATGCACCGTACCTGGTCAGTACTAACTCCTCGAATGCGTCCGCTATCAGTGCGCTACTCTTGCTTGGTAATGCTCGCGCCTCCACCCATTTGCTCGTGTGCTCAACCATGATCAGGATGTACTGCTTCCCTCCTTTTGATAATGGTAACTCTCCTGCCAGGTCCAGCGACCACCTGTAACCTAACCCCCGAATCGGTAGTGAGTGCAGCTCCTCCCTCTCCTTTTCCAGCCTTGCTTTATTCCTTTGACAAGCCTCGCAGCTGGCTACCAGTCCTGCCACATCCTTCCCCATGCTTGCCCACCAGTACATGGTGCTCAGCAGCTGCCGTGTCCTGGTGATGCCGTAATGTCCCAGCTTCGCATGCACCTTCCCCATGATCCTGTTCCTCTCTTGCGGCTGCGGCACTACCCTCCATCCTTCGCTGGTCCTCAGCTGCAGCTGCTCCTGAAACCATCTGTAATGCTGCCCTCTGGCTCTTGCTCTCTCACTTACGCCTTCCTCCTCCAGTGGCTCCCCTTTGATCCAGCTCATGGTCTCCTCGTCCTCCCATATATCTGCTAACCGCTTCTCTCCCTTCTCCTGCCCCCAGCTTACGGCCACGGTGTGGGCTAAGGCCGCCAGCTGCGCTACCGGCTGCATCGGTGGTGGGTTCCTTGACAGCCCATCTGCATGCTGCAGTGTTTTACCCGGTCGGTGCCGGATCTCAAAGTCAAATCCCAACAACTTGATAGCCCATCGAGCGTTTCTTCCCGTCAGCTCTTGATTAGTCATCAACCATAGCAGTGGCTGATGATCAGTCACTAATGTGAAGTGCCGGCCCTGCAGGTATACCTTGAAATGCGTGATTCCCCACACTGCCGTCAGGCCCTCTCCCTCGTATGAGCAGTAGTTAGCCTCGGATGGGCTGCAGCTTCGGCTGGCAAAGGCTATCACTCTTTCCTCTCCCTCGATTTCTTGGCAGAGCACCGCTCCCATTCCCGTACTGCTCCAGTCCGTGTACAGGATGAAAGGCGCTTCTGCCCTCGGTATCTGCAGTAAGGTCCCTGTCCTAACTGCTTCGAGCAAGTCCTGCCTTGCTGCCTCCTCCACCTCTCCCCATTGCCAGCTCTTCCCTTCCCTCAGCAGCTGGTTCAGCACGTAGGCACGGCGACTGAAGTTTGACACAAACTTCCTGTAATAATTCAGGAAGCCGAGTAACGCCCGCAGCCCTGTCTTATCCTTTGGCGCTGCCAGGTTCTCCAGCACCTTAACCTTTGCCTCTTGTATGGCCAGCCGACCGCCCTTCACTTCAAACCCCAGGTAAGCCACCGTGTGCCTCGCTATCTTACACTTATCTGGGTGACACGTCAGCCCCGCAGCTGCTATTGCCTCCAGAGTCTGCTTCAGATCTTGCACATGCTGTTCTTTGCTGCTGCTGTAAATCAACACGTCATCAATGTAGCATGCTGCGGCTGGAACCCCCTTCAGCACTTGATCCATGGCTCTCTGGAACACTGCTGGTGCGTTACGAAGCCCGAAAGGCATAACGTTGTACTCATACAAACCGTCCACCCCGTGAAATGCTGTTTTCCGTTTATCTGCTTCTCTAATGCCTATTTGATTGAAGCCCTGCCGCAGGTCCAAGGTGGTAAAGACGGTGGCCCCTTCCAGCCGGTCGAAAATGTCTTCAGCAGTCGGCATAGGGTATCTGTCTGGGCTTGTAATCTTGTTCAGCTCCCGAAAATCCCCGCACATCCGCTTCGCTAGAATCTTTCCCGTGATGTCCTTCCTAGCAGCCACCACCGTGGCCGCCGCGTAACTTGATTCTGACGGGCGAATAATCCCTGCAGCTAGCAACTCCTCACATTTCTCCTTGCAGATGGCTGCATCCTCCGCATTCATTCGCCTCCTGCGTTGGTATGTAGGTAGCTCAGTCGTGAGGTTCAGCTCCAGCTCTCTCCCCTTGTATCTCCCCAATTCCTGCAGGTTATAGGCGAAGGTGCCCCTATGCTGCTGCAACACCTCCCTGATTGCTTCGGCTGCTTGCTCCCCTATACCTGCCCCCAGCTCCCAGGTTTTGCCCGGCTCTGCTTCCGTCCCTACTGGTGGTGCAGTTTTGATCTCCTTCTCGTCTGTGAGCTTGCTGACAGCGGCGTAAGCAGCCTGCTTGCTACCCCTGCACTTCTCCTCTTCCGTCTTTCCCTTTTTCTCGGCTGGCCCCTTTCTCATCTCACTAATTAGCCATCGCAGTGAGTGCTGGTCTATGGCTCGGCCCAAGGCAGCTTTGCGCACCTCCTCCCCTACTCCATCTGCTGCAGTTGCCCCCGGCAGGTACCCCATGGCTAATTCCCTCTCCAAAGCAGTCGGCTCCTCCCATCTTTTCTTACGGTGATCATACACCATCCCTGGACCTGGAGTCCCTTCCACTTCGACAAATCCCCGTGCCTTTGCATAGGCCACCAGTGTCGGCCAGGCCCTCCTCGCTTCCCCCACTCGGTTACACTGATACTGTCGCGGATGATCTGGCTTTACCACTGGGGCGGCCACTCTCCCTGGTTCCAGAATGTCTTCCACGATTCGGCTCTCATCTCTCTCCACCCTTGCTAATCTCGCCCTCAGTTCTCCTTCTGGCAGGACGTTCTGCCAGTACTGCCGCACTCTATGACACCTTGCCCCCAGCTGTGCCCCGTCACAACTCACTCCCCTTCCCAATTCTGCTTCCACCAGTTCGCGTACGGCTCGGACCGGCTCCCTGCTATCACTCCTCATATCCACATGTTCTAGGATGTACGCATATTCCCCGCCAGATTCTCTCGCCCACCTCATAATCGTCAGCAGTGTTGTCACCATCGCCGTGCGGTCATCCTGCATTCCTCTTCCCTTCCCCGCTCGGGAAGTACCCTGGCACTCCCACCCTGCTACCAACAGGTCCACCTTTCCCCAGCGGTTCACGTCTTCCTTGGTAAGCTGTCCCACATCCCACTTCTCATTCTGCATGGCCTCCCGTATCACTTCCTTCGCCAGTTGAGCTGGGTACCGCTGCTGCAGTATCTGTGCATGCTTCCAAGCCATCCTCCTCACCTCCGGGTCTATTTCCACATACACCCATCTTTTCACCTTCAGCCCTGCTTCCAGTGCCGCCGCTAAGCCTGCCCCCAGCCCTCCAAACAGCTCCACTAAGGTAACGCTATACTGGTTCAGGTTAGCTCCGACCTTGCCCTCTTTGGTACTCCCCCTCCTTACGCTCTCTCTTCTCATGCCCTCCGCCCTCCAAGCCTTCTTCGGTTCTGTCTTGACAAACCGCACTGGCAGCTCACTCAACTCCTTTCCCTCAATCCAGAAATCCGAGCGGTAGAGCACCTGTTCCTGCCAGGTACAAATTGTTGTACCTATCTTGAATAGCAGCTCCATCCCCAGCAGAACATCATAATCCTCCGATTCGGTCAGCCCACATTGCACTCTTATCGTCGTTTCTCCCTTCTCTCCCGGCTGCAGAGTAATCTCGATGGGGTCCTTAGTACAGGGCATCCACTTTGGTGCCCCTCCCTCGGCTGTCATGATCAGTATGCCTCTGTTTACTATTTCCAAGTCCCCTTTCTCCCGTAACTGTTCTGTCAGCTTCCTTCCCAGCAGGACACTCTGTGCGCCTGTATCCACCACGGCGTTCTCCACTAATATGCCCCTGACAGCCACTGCCTTAGGTTCTACCACCAGGGCCGTGGGTTGGCAGACGAGTCTCTCCTCAGGATGCCGTCGAGCCGTCCTCGGCTTATGGCTTTCTTCTTGTTGCCGAGGGGTTCTCCTTTCAGGCTGCTTCTGCTCTGTCCTGCCATCCTTCCCGCCGCTGCGCAGCCCCAACTCCTCTCGGTCTCTAGGTGGTATGGCCATGGCCCCGTACTCTGCCTCCTCTCTCTCATACTCCTCCTCTTCATCGTCCTCCCAAGCCAGCAATGCCTTCTCAGGGTCCTCACTAATCTCAGTCTTCTCCAACTGTCCCTTCAGCTTCGCCACCTCTCTCTCTAACTGTAACTCCCTTGCCGATTTTCCTCGCATTCTCTCTCCCTTGCTGTAGCACCTGTCTTCAGTATGCCCCCTTTTCCCACACCCGGTGCAGATAGGTGCCTTGGGGCAGTCACGTCTGAAATGTCCTTTCATCTTGCAGGTGTCGCACACTATGTCTATGGCGCAGTCCTTCCGCACGTGCCCCTTTTCGCCGCACTTGTAACACCTGCGTCTATCTTCAGACGGCCTCTCTCTTCGTTCCTCTTCCCCCTGTCTCCCTTCCACCGCTGCCCAAGCAGGCCTCCGACGTTCGCTCGGCCGACTGGAGCTTGACCCCCTCATTCCTTCGAAAAACCTCTTTCCATCCTCCACTTCTTTCGCCACCTGGTACACCTGTCGCAGCTTCGCCCGTACCCCCCAAGGAGTATAGTCGGCTTCTCATGTCTCGTATCAAGTCCCCATCCAGTCCGTTGACGAACTTGGTCACTAGGATGCGCTCCTCCACGCAGCCCATATCCTCTGCCAGCTCCAGTAAACGGTTATAGTAGGCCAACATCGACTCTGCCGGCGCTCTTCTGAAGTCTTGAAACTCCGCCATCCGGTCCGCCGAATGCCCCGGGAACTGCTCCTGCAGGCTTTCCAAGAAACGGTCCGTAATATCTGCCGGTAAGATATCTCCTCTGTTGCTCCGCATCAGCAGCCCCTGCCTCTCCACGCGGTAATGAGTCAACGCCTCTCCTTTGAGAGTCCTCCCCAAGCCTCTGAAAAATTCAATAGGATCCAGTCGCTCCCTATCCCAGCAGTAGCGAATGTCTTCAATCATCATCAGGTAGTTTTTCAGCGTGGGCTCCTCTCCGGGTGCCCCCGAGAAGCGGTCTGGTACCTCAATTTTGGGGGGTGTAGTACTCATCGACCTGCCTGTCCCCCAGCTTGTGTTCCCTCCTTCTCCACTCCCTGCAGGTCGCCCTGCTCTCCCGGCCTCCATGGCTTCGTATCCTCCAGCAGAGAATCCGTGATATGCTTCCTTGCCTCGCTGACTTCGTCGTTCCACCGATTGATCGTCTCCTCCCCTCAGACTACGCCTTTCTTCACGTTGATCTTCTTCTCCTCTCTGACTCCGCCGTTCTTCTCGATGATCTTCCCCTCCCTTCTGACTTCGTCGATCTTCATGTTGATCGTCTCCTCCCAGATCTGGATTTCCTCGGCGAGATCCACTCCCCACAGGTCGCCCTCCACTCCTCTCCGCGGGCGAGTCGCATGCAGAGCTCGACTGTTGTTCTCCGTGTACACCTCGTTCTTCCTCCCGATCCCCGCCTTGGTTACCGCGCGAGATCGTCCCTCCTTCGCCCGCCCGAAATCCAGGCATCCTGACCGGCGGATCACGTCCCTCCATCATCCTCGCCGGGAATCGGTGTCCAGAGCGCAGTTGATGAGTGTGAAGCTCACGGTCGAAATTACTCATTCCTCACGGTGCATCACCGTGGGCAACTCCAGGCAGTAGATCCTGCCACCTCTTCTCTCAACAATCGTAATCCTGACTACCCTTTTTGCTTGTATGAAACAAGACTTAACTCCCTCGCAAGGGCTCCGCCGATTTGCTTCAGCTCCTCTCTACTGCTAGTTCCCCGTGGTTTAGGAAATCACAATTGCAGTAAACGAGAAACATACAAGCAAAAAGCAACGAGTCTGAGCGCTACCCCAGTCTACATCCCCTCCTGCCTAGGTGCCTTGTCCCGCAAGCTACCTCTACTCCTAAGCGCGAGTCAGCCGAGCTGATCGCGTAGGCTTCAAGGTGCTAGCTGGGTCCCACTCGGCCCACTAGGCATGCACCGCCTTCCAGCCTGGTGAATGGCGAATTGAATTCCCAGGCTGGCTGGAATCGAATTCGCCACCAACCTCCCCCCCAACCACCTCGAAATCCTCAGCAGCTCGACTCTGTATAGTACAGTAACATTCCAAAAGAGCAAACAAAGTAAAATGCAAAAAGCAGTAAACTATAGTACACCTCACCTTGGCTGCTGTGTAATTCACACTTAGTTGCCAGCTAAGTGTTAATCACGCGACAAGGCGCCTCAAAAGTCACAATCACAAGTAGACCCTTTTGAGGCGCCTCAAAAGTCACAATCACAAGTAGACCCTTTTGAGGCGCCTCAAAAGTCACAATCACAAGTAGACCCTTTTGAGGCGCCTCAAAAGTCACAATCACAAGTAGACCCTTTTGAGGCGCCTCAAAAGTCACAATCACAAGTAGACCCTTTTGAGGCGCCTCAAAAGTCACAATCACAAGTAGACCCTATGAGTGCATATAGCCGTTACTGACATCTGAATTCTGACCCTCCTGTGCCTGTGGTAGATCAGACCAGCCAAGCTGAGCATATCGGTTGCATCGAAAAGAAAGCACACCTGTGCGAGCTGTTGTGGAAGGGGCAAGTCGTGGGAGAGTGAGGAGAGAGAGTCCGCGATGGGTGCCAGAGAGGGGTATGCTGCCACTGCTGCTGCTGGCATGTGGAACAGCTGCAGAGGAGAGCAGTGAGTCAGGAATGGAGGGACAAGGAGAGAGGTAGAAGATACTAGGTTTGGTTGGACTAGTAAAAAAACGAACGTCAAATCAAAACAACAATGATAGCTAGCTAGTTGCTGCGATGCGTGCAAGCCAAAGACGGGTGCGCTGCCACTGCTGCTGCTGGCATGTGCAGCAACTGCAGAGGGGAGCGGTGTGAGTCAGGAATGGAGGAATATGGAGAGAGAGACACTACAGCATTGTTTGGGGTAGTAGGAAAAAGCATCGCATCACGCCAGGAACAATAACTGGCTAGATGCTGCAATAACCCCACTCACAGAGGTTTGGTTTTTGAGTCGACTAAAAAATAATCCCACTCTCCCCACGACCGGAGGGTTCCTTGGTAGGGCAACGTATATAAATTAAGGGTTCATTCAGCTTGTTGCGTGAATGCAGGACAGGTGTATGTAAGGCAAGCAAGGCATGGTCTGTGCATGCGCAGGCAACCTTCCTGTATGAACAAAGGAGCGCAGCATGTGATGTGGTGCATGTGGTGCATGTGATGCATGTGATGCATGTGTGACGCATGTGGTGCATGTGATGCATGTGGTGTGGTGCATGTGGTGCATGTGGTGCATGTGATGCATGTGGTGTGGTGCATGTGATGCATGTGGTGCATGTGATGTGGTGCATGTGATGCATGTGATGCATGTGGTGCATGTGATGCATGTGATGCCCCACCTGCAGGCGAGCCCTCACTGCTGCAGGGGCATCCACTGTGAACGCTCTCAGCAGCTCCACCAGCGCCTCTGGAAGCTCCCCCTCCTGCCCTGCTGCCCCTGCTGCTGCTCCCCCTTCTGCCACTCCTATTGCCCCCCCTCCTGCCCCTGCCGCCGCCGCTCCCACTGCTGCTTCTGCAGCTGGGGGAGTGCAGAGGGCCAGTAGGCGAGACACTATGGCCTGCAGCGAGAGGGGGAGGGGCGGAGCGGAAAGAGTGGCAGGGGATGGCGGAATCTGCGGGGAGAAGGGAAGACGTGGGGGGTAATAAGGGCGCATGAAACACACAAGACGCAGCAGCATTTGTAGCAAGGAAACAGGAGAAGCAGGGAAATGAAAAGTAGACCAGCAGAGCAAGGCTTTACACGCACCAATGGACCTGCTTGCACCAAGTCGCCAACCTGCCTCTGGTCCAACACAGCAGTAGGCATTGTCGTTCCACTGCTGCCATCCCCTTTGCCACTTCCGTTTTGTACTGCAGCAACCATCTGCGCGAGCACGCTTTCTTAGTGACTCAGAAAGTGTCTCACCTGGCTTTGGTCCAACACAGCAGCAGACGCCATTCCACTGTGACCACCCTCCCTGGCACCGTTGCTCTGTGCTGCAGCCACCACCCGCGCCAGCACGTCTAGACAAACTGCCGCCACCGCTGCTGGTGTCGAGGGCGAGGGCAAGGGGCAGGAGGGGCTCTGAGAGAGCGAGAGCTGGGAGGAGGCGAGCGGTGGGGCGGGTGGAGGCCAGGTGGGTGCCGAGGTGGGCAGGCAGGCGAGCAGAATGTGCACCAGGTACCTGGGGGGGGGACGTCACAGTGTGGGGGAAGGGACGTCACATTGTGGGGGAAGGGACGTCACAGTGTGGGGGAAGGGACGTCACAGTGTGGGGGAAGGGACGTCACATTGTGGGGGAAGGGACGTCGCATTGTGGGGGAAGGGACGTCGCATTGTGGGGGAAGGGACGTCACATTGTGGGGGAAGGGACGTCACATTGTGGGGGAAGGGACGTCACATTGTGGGGGAAGGGACGTCACATTGTGGGGGAAGGGACGTCACATTGTGGGGGAAGGGACGTCACATTGTGGGGAAGGGACGTCACATTGTGGGGGAAGGGACGTCACATTGTGGGGGAAGGGACGTCACATTGTGGGGGAAGGGACGTCACATTGTGGGGGAAGGGACGTCACATTGTGGGGGAAGGGACGTCACATTGTGGGGGAAGGGACGTCACATTGTGGGGGAAGGGACGTCACATTGTGGGGGAAGGGACGTCACATTGTGGGGGAAGGGACGTCACATTGTGGGGGAAGGGACGTCACATTGTGGGGGAAGGGACGTCACATTGTGGGGGAAGGGACGTCACATTGTGGGGGAAGGGACGTCACATTGTGGGGGAAGGGACGTCACATTGTGGGGGAAGGGACGTCACATTGTGGGGGAAGGGACGTCACATTGTGGGGGAAGGGACGTCACATTGTGGGGGAAGGGACGTCACATTGTGGGGGAAGGGACGTCACATTGTGGGGGAAGGGACGTCACATTGTGGGGGAAGGGACGTCACATTGTGGGGGAAGGGACGTCACATTGTGGGGGAAGGGACGTCACATTGTGGGGGAAGGGACGTCACATTGTGGGGGAAGGGACGTCACATTGTGGGGGAAGGGACGTCACATTGTGGGGGAAGGGACGTCACATTGTGGGGGAAGGGACGTCACATTGTGGGGGAAGGGACATCACATTGTGGGGGAAGGGACGTCACATTGTGGGGGAAGGGACGTCACATTGTGGGGGGAGGGACGTCACAGTGTGGGAGAAGGGAGGGAAGAAGGTTCATACATAGGGGGTAGGCATGTGGCTGGAAGGACGGAGGGCTAGCTCTGTGAACAATTTTAAGGGGATCATGTGACTACGGCACAGAAAATCACCTGAGCGACAGTGGCTCACCTGAAAGTGGGCGGCACTGTGACTCTGTTCCCCAGGATGTCAACCAGCACTGACAGCGCAGCGATGATGTGGCAGCGATGACGTGGACTGCAGGCTGCTACAGCCGCCTTGTGCAGGGCGAGGAGCAACTGGTAAAGAGACAAGGAAGAGATAGGGGAGACACGGGGGATATTACTAGGTCAGTAGGGCAGGATGATAAGGGAAACAGGAGAGGTGAGAAAGGGTGAGTGAGAGGGGAGGGAAGCGAGAGGAACGACAATGAAGGCGAGGAAAGAGGATGTTTATGTGCGTGCGCAGGTGGAAGCGTAGAGGCGATAAGGATGAGAAACTGCCGACTCACTGGAAAGACATTGGCCGGGCGCAAAATGTTGAGGTGGTCTGAGACGAGGGGAGGCGCGGAGGGCAGTGCGCTCGTACTGATGCTGCATGCAGGCGAGGGATGCATGGCAGGCACACATAACACACAGAGAGCGGTACACACAGTGTGCATGACACAAAGAGAAAGGATGATGCAACTGCAGGCACTGTGGTGGATGAAACATGCTTGCGCAATGCAGCGCGTCATATCGCCCCTTCTTTGCACTCCTACAAGGCAACTCCATTTATTCAATCGTGGTTGCTGTGACTGCCTCTATGTACCTGTTGCTGCTGGCATGCGAGTCAGCAGTGCTGTCCACCAGGGTGCAGATGGTGGCACGGATGCACGCGGTGGGGAAGGACGGCAACGATGGGTGCTGCTGGGAGGACGTGTGCTGCAGCAGACTGGTGATGATGGGCACCTGGGGAAGGGGATGCAGGTGGGGGCCGATGGGGAATTCGAGTTACTCTTTTTTTTTATTGAAGGCCTCAATGGGTGCCGCTGGGAGGATGTGTGTGGCGCAGCAGGGTGCTGCTATTGAGATGAGGGGCCTCATAGACTGAATTTTGACACATCTCAAAACGAGACTGCTGCTGATGATGGCCACCTGAGAAGGGCGGCGCAAGTAACAGCAAATGAGGACATTCAAAGACTTCTCTTTGAGGCACTTCAGAAATTGCTTCAATTCTGAAGCATTGCTGTAATGCGGCAGCACAATCGACTGCACAACTGGCACTCAGTTGGGATCTCGAAGCATGACCAGAGAAGGCTCGTCAGTCGCAGGCACACAATCGAATTCCAGCCGTAGCAAAACACGGACAAGGGTTTTGTATTTAGGGTTCACGACAGAGTGACCGCTGAGCCGACTCAAAACGACGGGTGGAAACAGACTGACCATGTGCTTGGTCAGAAGCTGATCCCTCTCCACCTCACTCCACCCCGCCGTGGCCAGCAGGCCTGTCGTGAGCACACGTGTCGCAGCCTCCTTCTGCCACGTGTCAAGCTCTGACTGGCGGAATGGCAGGAGCGCAGCAACCACATGTGGGAATGACTCCTTGAGGAGCCGAGGGGCGGGCGCCTGGAGGGCCTGGTGAGTGGCATGAGTGAGGGGGGAGGGCGGGTGGGGGGAGAGCAGCACATGGGGGAAAGTTGCCCTGAGGATCCGAGGCCCGATGGGAAGGCGCCTGGGGAGCCTGGCTGGTGAGTGGAAGGAAGGAAGGAGCGGTGAGTTGGGGCAGTGGGGGGGAATCCGGAGAGGTATGATAAATTTCGAAGAGGCAAGAAATGAATGAAGGGGACAGGTGCACTGACAAAGGAGTGGGAAAACGGTGGAAGAAACGAAGATAGTTGAATAATGCATTGGTACTCTTCAGGTGATCCTTCTGGATTCCTCCCATCGCTCACACCACTACCCAACTTCCGGCATGCCCACCGCTGTGAGACTCGGCCTCTCACTCACCTCGGCCAGGAATTGCACGTCACTCTCCCTCCCCAGCAGCAGCAGCGCAGGCAGCACCAGCGGAGCCAGCCTCTTCCACGCCCTTGCAAGTGCTCCTGCACCCCCCACTCCTGCTGCTACCACCCATGCAGTGTCTCCTCCCGCTTCATGGTCGCCCTTCTCCTCTAGCATCTGCCTCCCTCCGCCACCAGCTGTCCAACAGCCTGCGCCACCCATCCCCCTACCCCCCCCTGCTTGCTCCAACGCCACCACCACCTGCACGGTGCACCCGCCCGCGGTGGTGACCACACACACGCACGCACGCACGCACACACACAGACACGGATTCATATCGTTTTTAACACGTGCGTGTGTGGAAGGGGGGGGGGGTGTGAGGAGTGGCACGAAAGGGGTTGCGCAGGGCAGTGGCAGCAATTGAGCTCACCTGTGCGAGAGCAGGCAGCGGCAGCAGCACGGGGTCTGCTGCCACCCACCGTGTGGCCACAGAGGGCAGGAGAATGTCCAGGTACTGGATAGGATAGGGGTGAGCAGGGGAGGAAAAGAAGAAGCGAAGGAGGGAAGCGATGGAGGGTCGTACAAGCAGCCGTGAGCGCCACACAGTGCTGCAAGACTTTAGGTGTCACTGAGAATCATCTAATACACACATGGCTCGGAAAGTGGCTGGCTGGAATGGCACCAAGACTGGGGCGGACAGACCTGGCTGAGACTGGGGTAGCCCAGCGATGCTGCAGCTGTGGTGAGGACTGCAGCAGCCAAATTGCTGCACAGGACGGTTGGATTGGGAAGAGAGGCTCGAGATGCAAGGAGAAAAACAGGAAAACACAGAAGAAAGAGGAGAGCAAGGAAGGGTGAAAGAGGAGAGAAAGAGGGGCTAATGCGATGAGAATGAGGGGAGGTGCAGTTTAGAGAAACATGAAGGGAGGATGTGCAGCAGTCAACAAGGATGCATGGCGTCTCGTCCGATCTGCATTTGATTCACAAGGCTGCAAACATGCTTCCCTGTGATATAGACCAAGCAAACAACTTACGTGCGCACAAGGCGGAGAGCAGCAGCTGCGGCGATGAGGAATATGACCTGGATGAGAGGAGAGGGGCAGGCAGAGCACGACCACCATGCAGCAGAGGCAAACAAGGCAAAGATTATAGTCAGAACACCATGCCTGCCAGATGAACGCAGGATAGCCTAGTGACAACCACAGTAGAGAAGAGACGAAACGCAACTCATCAGTCAGGTCAGTGCATTTTTCAGATGGCACGTAGGGAAGCGGTGAGTATCCAGAGAAAAAGGGTTACAGGGAAAATCGCCTTGCAGCTCACCTCGTCCTCTACCAGGTCGCTGCTCCCTGCTCTCCTCCCAGCAGCATGGTCATGGTACGGTACGGTATGGCACGGCACGAAAGGAAGCTCTGGAGCTGCTGTGAATGTACAGACAGGGAGAACAAGGGCGGCATGTAGCTCACCTCGTCCTCCACCAGGTCGCTGCTCTCGGCTATCCTCCCCAGCAGTAAGACACCCGTCTCCACCCTCGCCCTGTCCACTCGCTCCACCTCCCTCCTCACTCTCTCCTCATCTGTCTCCCCACTCCCTCCTGCTCCTCCCTCTTCCCCTCCCTCTCCTCCACTGCCTCCCTTTCCCTCATCTCTTCCCCCACCTCCTCCCCCGCTGCGCATGAGTCCCAAGAGAGCGCCCTTCCCTGCAGGACCTGCCAGCAGAGGCAAGCTACGGCAGGCGGCAGGGCTGGAAGAGGGGGTGGAGGTAGGAGTGTTGCTTCTGGTGGAGGTGGCGGTGGCGGAGGGCAGGTGGAGCGTGGAGATGGAGAGGGTGGGTGCGGGAGCGAGCGACAACGTCTTCAAGTCCTTCCTGTTACATGTTGGGGGAGAGAACGTGATAATTGAGTTGAGAGCGATAAAAAAGCAGCATGTAGAGTGGAGCATGGAGGTGGAAAGGGTGGGTGCGGGCGCGTGACAAAGCGTCTTCAAGTATTTCCTGCAAACCGTTTTGCGTTGGAGGGAGAAAATGGGATGGGTTGCATGCTGCATGATACATACCTTGCTTGCATTCATACGAGGTTTGGATGGATTTCCTGCCACCTGACCTCGAGGTTTGGCTGGCCCTCACTCCCAAACCGAGCAGGATCGACTTGAAAAAGGGGCGGGCTTGTCCCGGCTTGACCTGAACCGGCTTGGCTCAGCTGTGCTCTTGCCACGGATGGCACCGTGGCATCCTCCCAACTCAATGGCAACGGTCGCACTCACAATACGGCTGTGCCAACCAACCTTTCAGTTGCTCACTCACTTGCGCGCGCACAATACAAGGTAGGCAGTGGAAGGTGACAGTTGAGTGTTGAGAGTTTTACAGAATGTGGAGCGTACGCGGAGTGCCAAATTGTCGGATTCCCACGCGGGGGAGGTAAGAGCAGACGGACTCACAGCGTGTCAGCGAGCATGGCGTGGTGGCCCTCCCATCCCATTTGAAGTAGAGCAGGTCGATATTCTCACATAATTCTCAGCGAGCAGCGGAATCTAGTCGGGATTACATCTCAGGTGAAAATTCTGACAAACGGACTCACAGAGTGTCAACGAGCAAGGCGGGGTGGCCCTCCCACTTGAGGAAGAGCGCAGGCAGCAGGTGTATGGGGGGAGCAGGCAGAAAGAGGCCGGGCCAAAGTGCTAAATTGCACACTGGGAGGCACCTACAGCACAGGCGGACTCACAGCGTGTCGGTGAGCAAGGCGGGGTGGTCCTCCCACTTGAGGAAGAGCGCGGGCAGCAGGTGGGCCATGTGCAGGCGCACCCCGTAGTCCCGGTCGTGCAGCAGCGCAAGGAGCGGCGTAGTAAAGAGGTCCTGAGCGGTGCAGGTGTGTGCATGGATGGTGGAAATGGGAAGAGATGAAAAAGGGAGAGTGCATGAGATGTAGAAAAAAGCCTTCTGTGAGGCATGGGGAGGGGGGGATATGGACGTAGCTAACATTTGAGGCAATTTCTTCTTAGGTCTTGATTTTTTCCCCCCATTTTTTTTTCCGGCCTGCCCCAAAACTTTTCCCCCTTGTGTCTAGCGTCTACGGGTGCGTCCTGCCTCTAGCGTCTAGACGCTAGACGCAGGACGGTCCTGGCGTTTTCCGCAACTTGAATGGGAGGGAGGAGGTTTGAGACACATGGAATGGCAGTGGAGTGGAGCAGACATCCACAGAGGGCATCTGCGAAGAGCTGCGAAGAGCAGACATCCACAGAGGGCTGAGAAGGATGAGTGCGAGGAGGGCATCTGCAAGGTGGACGCCAGAGTGGCATTGCGACAGCAGAGAGGACATGGGAGGTGGAGACACGTACAGAGTCGCTGAGAAGGATGAGTGCGAGGAGGGCATCTGCGAGGTGGATGCGCGCAGCTGGGGTGGGCAGGGGTTTGCTGCCCAACATGGGGGCAAGGGCCTCCTGCATCACCTGCAGCGCCTGAGGAGGGGGAATAGAGGAGAGGAGAGGGAGGCACACACAGCACAGGTTTCAGCATCGCCACTCCAGCCTAGCTTCGCGAGCACATCAAGAAGACGCATGTTATGGAAAGGAGATGAGATGCCTGCTTAAGAACTCTCTCTGGCCTCTCAACCATGCACGCTGAGTTCCCAAACCCCCAACTAGGGATAACCCTACCTTAGCTGTGGGCTCAATCTAAGCTTGGGTGCCTTTCTGTACCCAAGTTTGTGGGATAAATGTAGGACACAAGGAGAATGATACTCTCACACCTCTTACCTGCACCACCTCTCACCCGATTCACATCTGTGTCGCTGGCAGTTGCAGTGTCAGCTCCACCACCCCACGCATCTGCCAACTCCACAACGCTCCCCACGCCCTCCATCCGCTCCACTCCCCCCAAAACCCCCACGCCCTCATCTCGGAGCAGGGCGGGCGGCAGGGCGCCGTCCTTGTGCGCTGCAAGGCGGCAGGCAGTTGTGGTTGTGAGGTGAAGGAGGTGCTGCTGGTGGGAGTGCAGTGTGGTGGATGCATGGGACTCCAGGGCTGCTAGCTGCAAGGCGGAAGAGGGCAAAAGGGGGGTAAAATGGGGTAAGTGGAAGGGGTGGTGGAGGTGACAAGAACGATGCCCCTCACATGCTGGCGTTGCCATGCATGCACTCAAACTTGTTATAAAAAAGTGTCATTTTTTCCAGGGCGTGGCCGTGGTCCGTGGACATGCACGTTGTATAAAAGATAGTACAACATGGGGGATGGGTGGGATGGAAACAGGGGCCCCGTGTCCCACACGACGCATGCCAACAGCTGATGGGAGACAGAAGCGCAAGGAATGCAAAGTAGCCGGACATGGAGACCACCATAGAGAAATGGTACAAGCAATGCTTTGTGCTGGTGACGACTCAGTCATGAGAGCGCTGTTGAAACCAGTCTGCTGCAGGCAGTGTAATCGGACCTGGAGCAGTGCAGAGTTGCCTCATGCTCAAGTGCGATTTATTGACAGTTCTAATAGTTTTAGTCGACTGAAAGGGTGATCGGAACAAGTGCGGTCTTACCACAGGCTCGAGTGCTATCAATAGTTCAGCGTGTGATGCAAGCACGGAGAGCAACTGCCAGTAGCACTGAGGAGGGGGGGGGGGGGTCCAGAAAAAAAAAGGGAATCGGAATCGGAAACGCCGATGAAGGCCCACAAAGCCGAAACGCGCGTACGTTTTCTGAACCACTTGTAATCTGCCTTCTGATACTACTACGCTTACCTACACGTGTTCTCGCCTAGTACTCAGTGAACTTTTCTACTCAGTGAACTTTTCTACTCAGTGAACTTTTCTACTCAGATTACTTAGGTCGGTCAACCGAGCTTGCAGCTTTCTATCCGTTTCCTTCGTTTGAGTGAAGTGAAGTGAGAGAGTGGGAAACGTGGGACGGGTGGTGTTTGCAAGGGGCGAAGCAAGTGACATCACTTCCAGCATCCGTGTCGTTGTTGCTCCTCACACTTTTATTGTCCCCAATGCCCTCTGCCCACTGCCCTCTGCCCACTGCCCTCTGCCCACTGCCCTCTGCCCACTGCCCACTGACCACTTCCCAGTGCCGACTGCAAAGCACCAAGTGGCCAGGGTAGCACTGCCCAGCACACACCTCGGAGTCTTCACTAAGCTCCAGCAGCAGCACCACCTCTCTGCACGCCGCTGCTGGAAGGAACTCCGCCACCCACCCCACCATCCACACCGCTCCCTCCGCCACCTCCGCTGCTGTTGCACTGCCACCACCACCACTCAAACCTGTCAGCACCCCAGCAGCAGTAGTAGTAGCAGCAGCACGAGCAGCACCGGCGGCAGCGCCACTGCCCCCTGCTCCGTCCCGCCACGCGCTCTGTGTGTTCCTGCTGCGCACCAGGGGAGCCTGGGACGGCAGCACTCCAGGCGCATCCAATTCATTGTCAAAGATCCGAGTCTCCTCCCCCTCCCCACCCTCCTCCTCTAGCTCTATCACCTGCTGCTGCAGCTGAGGCTGAAAGATGGGTACAACTGCTCCTGATCTCGACCCCATCATTCTTCCCAGTCTTCCTCTTGCCCCGCCTCTCCCGCCCCTTCCGCCAGCAGATTGCAGCCCACTGTGCCCACCTTGCCGCCCACCGTGCAGCCCACTGGTGGCAGCAGACGGCTGCTGAAACTCCCAGTCGTCGTCAAAATCGTTGTCCAGGCGACTCCTCGTGGCGAAGGTTACAGCAGAGGCTGGAGGCAGGGAGAGGGCCGACACTGCCGCTTCACCACCCCCTGTCGCTCCGCCTCCCGCCCCTGCTGCCGCTGCTGCGGCTGCTGCGGCTGCTTCGGCCACGGTGGTATAGGAGGTGGTGGCGAGTCGAAGCATGGCGGAGAGGAGAGGGAGGGAGGCAGGCGAGCGGGGGAAGATGGAGAGGAGGTCGCGGATGAGTGGGAGGGAGGGAAGGTCCAGAGAGGTGGTGGGAGTGATGGATGGTGAAGACGCGAGAGCTGTTACAGCTGACAGGAGACTCTGCTTCTCCAGAAGACCCCCGGGGAGGAGGTCGGGAGGAAGGGATCTGCAGGTGAGGGAGGAAGGGAGAGAGAGACAAGCGCACGATGAGAGACAAGCGCACGATGAGAGACAAGCGCACGATGAGAGACAAGCGCACGATGAGCCCCTCACTGTCGCCAAGACCCTCACGGCCTTTGAGGCCGCAGCTGCCCCGACCTCCTTCCAGAAGGAGCCCCTTGGTACCGGGGACCTCTTGCACGTGCTCGAGCCACTGCTCAAGATGCCGTAGATAGTCCTATCTTGCCTGTTTAACCCCCTTACTAGTGTGCTGTACCAATTTCGGATTATTAATAGAGGTCCATTCGAGAGAGAGAGATCACAGGGCATCGCCCTCATGACTCAGAGGAGTCAAGAGGAACCGGGAGGAAGTTGGGAGGAAGGGTTCTGCAGCAGAGGGTAGAACCATTGAGAAGTTGGGAATATTACACACAATTGTAGCCATTGCCAGGTGTTTAACCCCCTTACTAGTGTGCTGTACCAATTTCGGATTATTAATAGAGGTCCATTCGAGAGAGAGAGATCACAGGGCATCGCCCTCATGACTCAGAGGAGTCAAGAGGAACCGGGAGGAAGTTGGGAGGAAGGGTTCTGCAGCAGAGGGTAGAACCATTGAGAAGTTGGGAATATTACGCACATCCATCCACCCAACAACACGACTCTACGTCTTTTTCTGTTTCGTGTGTGCAATTGGACTGCTTGAATGGTCTGTGTCACAAAGGAGGAGGATGGTATTTGACTAACAACCGGCAATGACTACAATTTTGTGTAATATTCTCTCCCTTCTACCCTCTGCTGCAGAACGTTTTTGAGAATTCTCAAAAACACCTGGCAATGGCTACAATTGTGTGTAATATTCCCAACTTCTCAATGGTTCTACCCTCTGCTGCAGAACCCTTCCTCCCAACTTCCTCCCGGTTCCTCTTGACTCCTCTGAGTCATGAGGGCGATGCCCTGTGATCTCTCTCTCTCGAATGGACCTCTATTAATAATCCGAAATTGGTACAGCACACTAGTAAGGGGGTTAAACAGGCAAGATAGGACTATCTACGGCATCTTGAGCAGTGGCTCGAGCACGTGCAAGAGGTCCCCGGTACCACCTCCTTACTAGTGTGCTGTACCAATTTCGGATTATTAATAGAGGTCCATTCGAGAGAGAGAGAGATCACAGGGCATCGCCCTCATGACTCAGAGGAGTCAAGAGGAACCGGGAGGAAGTTGGGAGGAAGGGTTCTGCAGCAGAGGGTAGAACCATTGAGAAGTTGGGAATATTACACACAATTGTAGCCATTGCCAGGTGTTTTTGAGAATTCTCAAAAACGTTCTGCAGCAGAGGGTAGAAGGGAGAGAATATTACACAAAATTGTAGTCATTGCCGGTTGTTAGTCAAATACCATCCTCCTCCTTTGTGACACAGACCATTCAAGCAGTCCAATTGCACACACGAAACAGAAAAAGACGTAGAGTCGTGTTGTTGGGTGGATGGATGTGCGTGGGCAAGTGAAGCCTCAAACGTGGGCAAGTGAAGGCACCTGGTGAAGGAGGAGCGGGAGAGCAGGCGACAGCAGTGCAGCCCCACTGCTGCCACCCACAGACTGCTCGCTCTTGTGCCTCCACCACCGCCATCACTGCCACCACCAGCAGCACTGCTCCGCCTCCCACCCCCACCAGCGCCATCCCCACTGCCCTCCCCAGAGCTGCCAGCTGAGCCTCTACCCTCCACCCACTCCCTTTCTCCTCCTCCTGACCCTCCTCCCACCACATCTGCCTCACCACAGCCAACGTCTCTTGCTGCACTGGTTGGCGGGCAGATGAGCGCGGCGAGTGTGGAGAGGGCTGCTTGGGAGAGCGGCAGAACGCGCGTGGAGTCAAGGAGCGAGCGGGAGAGTGTGAGGGCGGCCGAGGGTGGGGAGTAGGGGGACGAGGCGAGGGAAGGTATGTGCTTGTCCCTGTGCTGCTGGACGTGTGAGGGAGGATGAAGGGGAGGGACGGGAAGAGAGGAAGAGAAAGGTGAGGATGAAGATGTTGCAAGACAAGAAGTAGAGGAGCAACAAGTAACATCAGAAGTACACGAAGAGCGACACGTAACCTTAGACGATACAAGGAGGGAATGCCAAATTATGTGAAAAGGTGTAGAGGCAACATGAGTTGGGGTGGCGAAGAGACAAGATTTTGAAAGTGCACGCGCTGCTTACCTACCCTGTGCACAGCAAGTAACCCTCACATGCAAGTAGCTCTACTACCAACGGCACCACCTTCCCTTGGTTACCTGACATGCTGCAAGCCACGGCGGGGACGACGACAGAGGGGGAGCAGCAGCAGAGTGTGGCACGCCAAGCGACAAGGCAGTGTGAGGGGCGCATGTTGCAGCTCCAGCTGCCCGTGCAGCTGCTGCAACGAGGCAGTGAGGGGTGCGGTGTAGGTGAGGGAGCGCTGGCTCCATGTCTCTCACATCTTCATGCAGCTGATGGTGGGGCATGGGGGCACGCCCACAGGTGCACGCACAGAGATGGATGGCTTGTGGGCACAGAAAGAATGTGGGCAGGGGGACAGAAAGAAAGTTGGCAGCTCGGCACATGCACAGGAACTCTCATGAAGTTGCCCTCTCTTTCTTCGTCTACACCAATGCTCCAAGGCAATGACAAGAACCATCCCACACATCCGCCAAGTGCTTACAGGGAACCACCAGTCACTGTGGAAGGAGGTGGGCACGGAGCACACGGAAGGACAGGACGGGGCACCAGCGGCGCCAGGCACAGCAGCACGAGAGGCGGCAGCAGCAGCAGCATCTGCAGCAGCTGCAGGAGCGGATATGCGGGTGCAGGGTGCTTCGCCTGTCACTGCTGCGCACAGGGCAGCTGCAAGCAGAAATGGTTCCGGTGGGCGGTGAGTGCGGTGCAGAGCGGTGCGCAGGGTGATGGGGTGAGAGGGCTCGGAGTCTCTGGAGGAGAGGGATGGGCCGTGAGCCTGGTGGAAGGGTTGAAATGAACACAGGGCAGCACAGTGGGAGGTCATTCTTTGAAGCGCAACAATAGGCGGATGCGGAAAAAAGGCCATGGGGGTTGGAGTTTGGAGGCATGCACAATGCCAATCTGGAAGGGCATGCGGATGAAGTGATTTTTTAGGGCATGCGGATGAAGTGATTTTTGAGTCGCCTCCAAAACCACCTCAAATTGGATGAGCACAGTGCATGTGGATACGGATGCAGTAAGGAAGGCATGGAGGGAGCAGAATGTGGAGCAGAAAGGCACTCACACACCAGCGCTTTTATCACACCACCACCTCACCTCACCTCACCTCACCTCACCTCACCTCACTGTTGGTGTTAGGCCCCAATCTCACATTTTGTACTTGTACTTTTATATCCTAGTTTAGTGTAGTTTGCACTTTGTGTTTGGTTGGGTGTACACCCACATCCCAACCAAACCCAAATGTAATCTCCAAGCAATCTCCAACCCACCAATTGGAGATTGCCTTGGGATTACCCTTGATTCCCTAGGATTGCCTCCTGATTCCCTCCTCATCCCTACCTTGCTCATTCCGGATGTACTTAAAGAGCTTTGAGCTCACTACTATAGTATCTATTCTAAGCTCAAGTTCTGACATGGTATCAGAGCGACTCAACCGCATACGCGGATCGTGATCCTCTCATCTCTGCGGATACTTGTCCCGCAAACCTCGGGGAAGCCATCGCCAATCTCGTCGCCGTTGATTCGCGACATTCATCGGCGGAATTTCTCCCGCCAAATCTTCCCGTCACCATCGACGGAAACTTCTCTGGTAAGCGCATCGTCGGCGCTCTAACCTAACACTCGTTTTCATCAATTCGTCACTTCTTCTCCTCGACGGGCTGCCGCCCGTCGCCCTGCAGCTTCTCGTCGGGCCGCCGCCCGTCGCCCCGCAGCGTCATCTTCGGGCTGCCGCCCGTCGCCCCGCATCTGCACTCCTACCCCCATCCCCCCTCTTTCCCGCAGCTGAACAGGTGCAGCAACGCAGCCGAGCAGCAGCGTAGCCGCGAAGCTGAGGGTGGTGTGTGGGGGGGTGTGTGGGAATAGGACTAGTAGGTAGTTGACACTAAATTGGCGTCTCAGTCAAATTCTCCTTCGTAAACCCTAAACCTCCGGTTCTTCAAAATCTCCTTTGGAAACCCCAAACCTCAAGTTCCTATTGGTGACTTAAGAGCGGCGCTCCGCGCGAGAAGTTAAGGGGTCTCCACCATGGCTTTCTCGTCTTCCACCATGGCGAACCCCATCACCCCGCTCCGCCTTGAAGCCGATGGCTCTAGCTCCAACTTCAAGGCGTGGAGCTACGGAGTTGACAAGCACCTCCTGAGCCGTGACGTGCAGGGCCTTGACCTCAAGGACGTCCTCCTCAACCGTGGCAAGGGGAAACAGCCCACTCTTCCCCGTGAACCGACCGAATCTTCAAGTGATGCTGACGTGATGACGTACGAAGAAGCTGTTGAGAAGTACCGGAAGTGGGAGAAGGCCGATGCTGCCATCATCAGCGTCTTCATTGCCTCCACCCCTCCCGAACTTGTCAACACGTTCCACAACTACCCTACCTCCAACGCCATCTGGAAGTATCTCCAGGATCGGTTCATGAACAAGACGGCGGTCGGAGTGGCGATTCTCATCCCCAGCATGTTTCAAGTCCGCCTTGAGGACTGCTCAGGAATGGCTGATTACATCGCCAAGGTGCAGACCATTCATGGTGAACTCAAGGAGCTGGGTATAGTCTTCCCCGAACAAGCCCCTGCAGCCGCCCTTCTTGTTGGTCTCTCCTCGGCATATGAAGTGACGAGGAAGATGCTCCTCACGCTCTCAGCGGAAGACCTCACCTTTGCTAAGGTCTCCACCGCACTCCTCTCTGCCGAGAAAGACTCCACTGCTCAGGCCAAGGCATACGCCATCCGTGCTCCCATGCCCCTAGCAAGTGTTGCAGCAGCCCTTGCCTCGGCGCCTTTCCAGCGCAACCGCTTTCCTCCGTGCACCTACGTCGTCAAGTATGGCAACCGCAAGGGACAAGTGTGTGGTGGCACTAACCACCCCCTTGCCACGTGCTTCAAGAAGAAAGACGACGAGTGGTATGCCATCCACGGGGTTGACAAGAAGCCGCCAAACTGGATGCGCGCTCGTAAGGCCAATCTCGTTGAGGTCCAGGACCCCTCTTCGGCTAGTGCTAGTGACAGTGCTCCTGTTGATGTGCGTATCAACCTGTTGTTTCCTGGCACTGCCATGATTAATGAAGCCACTTCCCAGTACATCGACTCATCACAGGCACCACAGTACATAGAGTTCACACTCGACAGTGGGGCCACTCACACTGTGCTCAAGGAGACACTCTCCTTCAAACCCTATCCAGCACCTATCCCTCTCTTGGGAGCTGACTCCAGCTTCACCACCCTAGCCAAGGGCACCTCCACAGTCCCATGCCCAGCCTTCCCTTCCGGCACCGTCACTGGCATGTGCGTGCCTTCACTACGCCACAATCTAGTGGCTCAAACAGAAATTCAGAAAGCAGGGCTACGCACCATCTTCTCGGAGAATGAGGACCACTGCGACATCATTGACCCACTCACCAACAAGGTCTTGGCCCGCTTCACCCTCAATAGCAGCGACCTCTACACGCTACGCGTTCCTCTCCCACAGGTTTCAACCACCCAAGCACAGGCTCCCATCACACCATGCACATGTCGCAGCCTCTCCAACCCGACCATCCTCTATCATCATCGGTTAGGGCACCCAAACTTCCGCACGCTTGCTGACATGGCCTCCAAGAAACTTCTTCTCGGCCTGCCAGCCACACTTCCTCCACCACCTGACTCACCCGCTCCCACGTGCCTTGATTGCACCAAGAGCAAACTGCGCCAACAGCCCCACACTGCCTCACCCACAATCGCAGCGGCACCACTGGACCTAGTGCACATGGACGTCTGGGGCCCTGCCCCTGTTCTTGCACGAGGTGGATATCGCTACTTCCTAGTTATCGTGGATGACCACTCACGATACGTCTCTGTTCACCTCCTCCACACTAAGGCTGAGGCTCCAGAGGTCATCATGGCGTGGGTCAAGCAGGCACAGACCACCTTTGACCTCAAGGTCAAGCGCCTTCACTCGGATGGGGGGGGTGAATTTTGCAACGACAAGCTTAAAGCCTTCTGCTCCTCCGAAGGCATCCAGCAAAACGTCACCCTCCCTGACAGCCCTCAACAGAACGGCATAGCTGAGAGCCGCAACCACACTCTAGTGCAGATCACTCGGTGCCTCCTCAGCCACTCCAACGCTCCACACTCTCTCTGGGGATACGCTCTCTACCACGCCGCCCTCCTCTACAACCTTTACCCCCATCCGCACCTTCCCGACACCACTCCAACCACACTCTGGCTCGGGAAAACGCCCACTGCTCGCTCTCTTCGCGTTTGGGGATGCACCGCCTATGTCCTCCTCAACCCTCAGGCTCGACGCCAGAACGGTGGCAAGCTCGGTCCCAAGACTCAAACGTGCATCTACCTTGGGCACAACGCCGACTCACCTGACTACCTCTTCCTCAATCCCTCCACTCAACAGTTGGTCAGGAGCCGCGACGTTGTCTTTGATGAGACCCGCCCATTCTACTCCCCTTCGGGACGGGACCCTCTCCCTGATCCACCCTCCCTCGTGTGGGCAGACTTTGACGCGCCTCCCGACCTCCCGCCTGCTCCTGCCCCCTCACCTCCTCCCTCTCCTGCCATCCCACCATCTCCCTCTGAGGTCTCTGACCCGGCCTCACCGGTGTCTTCGGCGGCTGCTCCGCCCCCCCCCTCACCTTCCTCACTTCCCGCTGCGCCGCCCCCTCCGAGCGCACCTATCACCTACCATCGGCGGTCCCACCCTCCGGCCCCACCTCCTCCCCCAGTTCCCCCCACCACAGAGGAACCCGCTCTCCCACAGTCGCCCGAGCTGAGCACGTACCGCCGGCGGCCCATTCCCCCACCCAAGCCTCCTAAGTCACCCTCTCCGACACCGCCTGCCCCGCCCTCCTCACCGGTGGCTCATGGCACCCGCTCCCATCGCGCTGCTCTTCCACTCGCAATGGTTCTTCGATACACAATGATCACACCGCCTCCTCCTGCTGGGGGGGATGTGCCCTCTACCCTTCTAGAAGACAGGCATGAGGAGCTGTGTGATCTCCATGCAGTCATTCCTCAGCTCTCACACATCTTCCCCGATATCACTGGCTCACCCTCCCTCAACCTCGCGGAGAACCCGACCATCCCTATCCCTCTCACCGTCCAAGAGGCTCTCTCAGGCCCTCATGCTGCCGAATGGCGTGCTGCCATGGACGCGGAGATTGCAGCATTCACTCGCAACCACTCTTTCGATGACGAGACTCCACCTCCAGGAGTCAACATCGTCGGGGGCAAGTGGTTGTTCCGTGTAAAACAGCTCCCAGACGAGGCACCGGTGTTCAAAGCGCGTTACGTAGCCAAGGGCTTCACCCAGCAGCGGTACCGCGACTTCGACCTAATCTTCTCCCCCACATCCAAACCTCCCACCATTCGAACGCTCATGGATGTTGCAGCTCGAGAAGACTTTGAGATCAAATCCATGGATGCCTCCTCCGCTTTCCTACAAGGACGTCTCAAGGAGACAGTGTTCATGGACAGACCAGAAGGCTTCCCAGGAGAATTCCCTCCCAACACAGTCTGGAAGCTGAATCGCCCCGTCTACGGCCTTAAACAAGCCCCTCGCGAATGGCACAACAAGGTGAAAGAAGTCCTCCTCTCCCTGGACTTCCACCCCTCAACTGCTGACCCGACTCTCTTCATCCGTCGTCATTCTGAGCCATTCTACATCCTAGTCTACGTGGATGATTTTATCCTCGTTGCCAAGGACTCGGCCCAAATGACCTCTGTCCAGGCAGCCCTGAGCAAGGCCCTCCAGATGAAAGACCTTGGTGACCTCAAGCACTACCTGGGAATGGAGATCACTCGTGATCGCAAGGCTCGCACCATCTCACTCTCCCAGGAGTTCTACATCGACAATGTGCTCAAGCGGTTTGAGATGGAGCTGTGCACACCTGTTGCCACCCCGCTGCCGCTGCAACACCTCCTTACAGCTCCTGCTGTACCCACACCAGAGGCCTGCTCTGAGCCATACCCGGAACTTGTTGGGTCCCTCATGTACGCCATGATGTGCACCCGACCGGACTTGGCCTACCCAGTCAGTGTTCTCTCTCGTTACGTGGCCCCGGGTCGCTTCACTAATCTTCATTGGAAGGCAGCAAAGCGGGTGCTGCGCTATCTTAAGGGCACAAAGTCCCACGTTCTCACACTCGGTGGGCTCTCCCCTCCTCGCCTGGAAGGTTACACAGACTCCTCCTGGGCTGATGACCAGACCGACCGGCGCTCCTCTCAGGGGTACTGCTTCACCCTCGGGAGCGGAACTGTCAGTTGGCGCTCCACCAGGTCGTCTGCAGTCTCCCTCTCCTCCTGTGAGGCGGAGCTCTACGCAGGCACCATGGCTGCTCAGGAGGCCCGTTGGTTCACCTTCCTACTCCAAGAGCTTGGCTTCCCTCAGTCAGCCCCCACCCTCTGGTGTGACAACCAGAGTACCATCCACATCTCTCAAGACCCTGTGTATCACACCCGCACCAAGCATATTGAACTTCGGCACTTCTTCATTCGTCACCTTGTGCAACAAGAGCAGCTGAAGGTGGAATACGTGGCATCTGACTGCAACCTGGCTGACCTGTTCACCAAGCCCCTTGGGAAGGTTCCCCACCATCGTCTCCTTGGCGCCATGGGGCTCTGCGCTCCTCCTTCTCCGCCATGAGTTCGATTGACGCCTCAGGGGGGGTGTTGGTGTTAGGCCCCAATCTCACATTTTGTACTTGTACTTTTATATCCTAGTTTAGTGTAGTTTGCACTTTGTGTTTGGTTGGGTGTACACCCACATCCCAACCAAACCCAAATGTAATCTCCAAGCAATCTCCAACCCACCAATTGGAGATTGCCTTGGGATTACCCTTGATTCCCTAGGATTGCCTCCTGATTCCCTCCTCATCCCTACCTTGCTCATTCCGGATGTACTTAAAGAGCTTTGAGCTCACTACTATAGTATCTATTCTAAGCTCAAGTTCTGACACTCACCTCACTGCACCGCACTGCAGCTGCCCACCTCGTTGGCCATTCCCGCAAGCAGCCACTGCAGCAATGCCACGCGTGCTGAGCTGAGCGGTGACGTGGCAGCTGGATTCAGCGCCAGCAGTGCTGCCTCCTGGCGCTGGTAGGGAGAAGAGTGGGGAGGTGGAGTGGAAGGTGGGTTGGATGAACCATCGATTGTTTTCCTTTTCAGGTACTTGTGTGAAGTAGACCCTAATTTTTGCTGATACAATCACAAATGTTTTTTGTTTCCCAGCCTGCTGAAGATTCTTACACAAACAAGAATCCTTGCGGGTCCAGCAAAGGAAAGATGGGAGGCCGGGGAGAGCTGTGTGGGCAGAGTTGGCAAAAGAGAACAAAGTAGTTGACGGGCGATGCAAGAAGCAAAGCATAGTACCTGGAAGGCTGTATTGGATAGAAGTGCAGCTGCAAACTGCAGAGTTGCACTGGTGACGGGAACAAGGGAGAAAGCGGAAGCAAGAGGCCCATACCACTGGGATGCGCATGCATGGGAGTGGAAGGAAAGGGCGTGCGTGTGGGAGCATGAAAACGCAACATAGAGTGCCGCAAAAAACGAAGATCCGAAAGGGCAGAGGTATGCTCGGACCTTGGTGGCTCAACAGAAGCCCAACCAGGCCATGGGCCATGGCAGAGCTGGAGGTGGGTCGTTGCTGGCTAGAGGAACTATTGTTTCTGGCATGGCGAAACGATTGAGTAATAATATGTTTGAGTAGGCTGGCAATGCCAGGTCCATGCTCACCTCGTGAGTGCTGCTCACCTCGCGAGTGCTGCTCACCTCGCGAGTGCTGCTCCCTCCTTGAACTGCGGCAATGCCAGCAGCTCCCTGGGAGGAATCACGTCCTGCACAACACCCTGTGTAGAGTCATCACGCATGGGGGATAAAAGAGGGGAATGGTAGGCATACACGGAACAGAAGGAAAGACCATTTCAGTTAAGACAACAGCATTACACAGAAGGGCATGAATGGAATAGTTGCAGGGAATTAATTAATTTGATTGGTTCTGCAGTGGTTGGCTATGAATACGCAGCGTCACGGTTGCCTTTCTCTGGACATTGAACAGACGGAAAGCATCATACAGTGCAGCGGTTGACACTTGCGTTTACATACGTCATGCACTCACGAGGTGAGCAGCACTCGCTTGCGTTTACGAGTTGCCATCCGTACAATGATGCAATCCATACAGTTGCATGAGTTGCCATCTCATCTGTATGTATTGCATCATTGTACGGATGGCACATGCACATCCATTCACTCATACATGGTTGCAAATGGCACATGGCACCTGCACTCACCGCTTGCAGTAAGGTGGAGAGGAGCGAGAGGCATGGCTCCACCTGGCGAGATGGCAAAGGGGGGAACGGAACGGAAGGCCCAAGTTGGAGATTGGACCTCATAGTCAACAGCTGTCAGCACGGCAGCAGCAGAAGGATTTTTAGGCGCCTTATAATAGAATCAACCTGGCAAAGTGGTACATTTCATTTCATTTCAAAAGTCAGCGAGGCAGCAGCAGAAACTGGGGGACAGGGGCCGAAGAGGAGAGGGAAGCTCGGAGAAGAAAGGGGCACATCAAGAAGCAGAAAACTTGACGACTGCAGATGCAGGAGACAGGTTGGGTGAAGCGCGGCAGGGCAGCAATTACCAATGCAAGAGGCAGCGCAGGGAGAGCAGCAGTGACCTCGCCCCACACGCTCTGCCACAGAGCAGCAAGCGACAGATGCTGCGGAGGAGGGTGCTGCGGGTGCTGTGGTGAAGCTGCTGCGGGGCTGCTGCTGAGAGGAACTTGGCTTGACCGATGCAGAGGGTGAGGAGCGGTGAGCAGCGTGCACAGCTGCTGCAGGCACCTGATGGGCCAAGGGAGGGAGATGGGATGATTAGTGTGTGAGGTGAGACAAGCTGTGTGAGGTGAGACAAGCTGTGTGAGGTGAGACAAGCTGTGTGAGGTGAGACAAGCTGTGTGAGGTGAGACAAGCTGTGTGAGGTGAGGCAAGCTGTGCCTGCACACACGCACATGCCATTGGTGGGGTGGGGCCCTGGCAGACAGTAAAAGTTGCATGGCTGAGGCCCTGTGCCTCAGGGCAAGATCTAGGGCAGAGAGGGAGGGATCTGTTTCAACCCTGTTGCTGACTGTGACAGGAACAGGGACAAAATGGGACAGGAACAAGACAAGACAACCGTCGGTGGGATCACAGGGTGAAAAAATCGCTCCACAGCAGAAAACCCATCTGGCAGATGGGCAAGTGGCAGCACAGCGCAGAGCCTCACCTGAGCGCCCAGATGGGTGTTGGCAACGAGCCCTTGTGCCTCGCATCCTGCATCCACCTGCTCTGGGAAAGGGCCACAGGCATGCACATGGGAAGCAGGGGCGGGCTGACTTTTGAGTCGACTCAAAAGTCGCCCTTGTGCCGCGCATCCTGCATCCACCTGCTGCCCCGGAGGCACGGAGGTACACACGCAGACAGCGGACTTGTGGCGCCTCAAGAAGCGCCTGGGGTTAGGGAGGGGGGCATGTGCACGTGCAGGCAGGGGCGTGTTTACGCGCTGAAGAGGTGCAGTGCGGTTGCAGGGGAGTGGTGGTTTACAGACGTTGGTAGGCAGAAGATGGCAGGCGAGCCAGCCAGCAGAGAGGAACGATGGCAGTACACTTAGTGGGGAAATGATGAGTGGTATGAAAGGTGAATGCATGATGGGTGCAGCGGATGGCAGCAGCAGGCCTAGAGGAGCGAGGGCACGAGAGTAAGCCAGGTTGCACTCTTTTATTCGACTCGATGCACATGGGAAGGCAGCATCAGGTCACCTGGCGAGGTGCGAGTGCAGGAGGGCAAGCCAGCGGTGCAGGGTGTGTGGCGGTATGGAGTGGCTGTGGTCGCAGAGCAGCACACACAGGGCTGTTAGCCTGCAGGTGGTGGGAGCGGGGGCGATGGAGGGAGAGGCACGAGATGGAGGAATGGGGGAGAGACGTGAGGAAAGGGGAGGGGTGGAGGGAGCGGGGAGAAATGGAGGGAGGGGGAAGGGATGGAGGGAGGGGGGGAGGGATGGAGGGAGGGGTAAGAGATGCAGAAGCAACGAAGAGAGCGGTAAGTGCTGGAAGAAGGAAGGTTTGAGGAGAAGCAAGACTGGCGGAAGTAGAGTACGGCTGGGCTTTGAATTCTAAGGTTTAGCGTGGGGGGGTGGGGAGATGAACGGGACAGCACCTCACCAGCGGGCACGCCTCAAAAGCGGGCACGCCTCACAAGCGGGCACGCCTCACCAGGGAGCAGTGCCTCACCAGGGAGCAGTGCCTCACCAGGGAGCAGTGCCTCACCAGGGAGCAGTGCCTCACCAGGGAGCAGTGCCTCACCAGGGAGCAGTGCCTCACCAGGGAGCAGTGCCTCACCAGGGAGCAGTGCCTCACCAGGGAGCAGTGCCTCACCAGGGAGCAGTGCCTCACCAGGGAGCAGTGCCTCACCAGGGAGCAGTGCCTCACCAGGGAGCAGTGCCTCACCAGGGAGCAGTGCCTCACCAGGGAGCAGTGCCTCACCAGGGAGCAGTGCCTCACCAGGGAGCAGTGCCTCACCAGGGAGCAGTGCCTCACCAGGGAGCAGTGCCTCACCAGGGAGCAGTGCCTCACCAGGGAGCAGTGCCTCACCAGGGAGCAGTGCCTCACCAGGGAGCAGTGCCTCACCAGGGAGCAGTGCCTCACCAGGGAGCAGTGCCGAGTGTGATATGCTCCTCCAACACGGCCCACACCGAGGAGCCACCCGCACCACCACCACTGCCTTCATAAGCAGCGCCCACACATACACCTGCCAGTGCTCCTGCTCCCACGCCGCCGCCTGGTGCCGTGCCCAATGTGCCAATGCCAGCGCCAGCGCCTCTCCGTTGCCTCTTTGCCGGGCGGCCGTCTTCGTCTTCTTCCGCAGCATGTGGTGCTGCTGCTGCTGGTGGCGGTGACTGTGGTGATGGTGGTGGTAGGTGGTGCGGTTGCTGCATGTATCGGTAGCGAGCAATGCAGAAACACAATGCCACAGTGGCAGGTTGTTAGAAGTGACACAAGGAAATGAGGGATAAACGAGAGCTGAGCCGCAACGGGTGCGCTGTTGGATGCAAAATACAATGGGACGAGAACAAGAGAGCAAGAAGGGAGTATGGGGGAGAAGGGAGCGGGGACGGAGGGAGAGTGAATGTATGACATGAGAGGTGGCGGGCAAAGGTGGAAGGGAGGGGAGGAGATAGAGTGAGTAATGGCGGGAGAAGGGGGAATGTTGGGAAGGAGAGGAGGTGAGGCGATGGCACCTGGGAGAGGAGCGAGGCAGCGAGGTCCATGATTGGCCAATGGGATTGCGCCACGGAGGATGATGCGTGCAGCGATGACCTGGACGCTGCTGTCACTGCCCGCACATCCAGACTGCAGCGAGGGGGTTTGAGGCGGAGAGGGAAGGCGGAGGGGGAGTGGGGGATGCACGAGCAGCTCATGGGAAGCAGTGAGGCGTACAGAGAGGGAAGCAGTGAGGCGTACAGAGAGGGAAGCAGTGAGGCGTATAGAGAGGGAAGCAGTGAGGCGTACAGGGAGGAAAGCTGTTGGAGAAACAGCTCTGCTAGTCATCTGCCTGCATTCTGATTCTCTTCTTCTTCTCAGTTCCTTCTGCTGCCTCAGCCACTTCTCAGCCATTCTCTTATGAAAGAGTCGGAACTCCCACCTCAAGGGTCCTCTCTGAGTGGTGTGCCACCTAGCTGTGAGTTAAGGAAACAACTCTCCACTATGCGAAAGGATAACAAACGGAAAGCATCAGGGATGTGTGAGAGAGTGACTTTACCTGGCCTGGCCTCGAACCGTGCATTTCTCAATGTGCGGCTCGAGCTTGGGTTGGTTCAATCACATTGGTCGCGTGGATTTCTCCCTTGGTGCTCTCCTACCAACCTCGCGTCAACTTCCCTGGTTCCCCAACTACCTACCCTCGAATATTCATACTCAACATTGCTGCACCAGAACTACACCTCAACATAACTGGCACCTTATATGCACGACCGTGCGTATTCGGTGACAAAGCAGTGAGGCGTACAGGGAGGGAAGCAGTGAGGCGTACAGGGAAGGAAGCAGTGAGGCGTACAGGGAGGGAAGCAGTGAGGCGTACAGGGAGGGAAGCAGTGAGGCGTACAGGGAGGGAAGCAGTGAGGCGTACAGGGAGGGAAGCAGTGAGGCGTACAGGGAGGGAAGCAGTGAGGCGTACAGGGAGGGAAGCAGTGAGGCGTACAGGGAGGGAAGCAGTGAGGCGTACAGGGAGGGAAGCAGTGAGGCGTACAGGGAGGGAAGCAGTGAGGCGTATAGGGAGGGAAGCAGTGCGGCGTACAGGGAGGGAAGCAGTGAGGCGTACAGGGAGGGAAGCAGTGAGGCGTACAGGGAGGGAAGCAGTGAGGCGTACAGGGAAGGAAGCAGTGAGGCGTACAGGGAGGGAAGCAGTGAGGCGTACAGGGAGGGAAGCAGTGCGGCGTACAGGGAGGGAAGCAGTGAGGCGTACAGGGAGGGAAGCAGTGAGGCGTACAGGGAGGGAAGCAGTGAGGCGTACAGGGAGGGAAGCAGTGAGGCGTACAGGGAGGGAAGCAGTGAGGCGTACAGGGAGGGAAGCAGTGAGGCGTACAGGGAGGGAAGCAGTGAGGCGTACAGGGAGGGAAGCAGTGAGGCGTACAGGGAGGGAAGCAGTGAGGCGTACAGGGAGGGAAGCAGTGAGGCGTACAGGGAGGGAAGCAGTGAGGCGTACAGGGAGGGAAGCAGTGAGGCGTATAGGGAGGGAAGCAGTGCGGCGTACAGGGAGGGAAGCAGTGAGGCGTACAGGGAGGGAAGCAGTGAGGCGTACAGGGAAGGAAGCAGTGAGGCGTACAGGGAGGGAAGCAGTGAGGCGTACAGGGAGGGAAGCAGTGCGGCGTACAGGGAGGGAAGCAGTGAGGCGTACAGGGAGGGAAGCAGTGAGGCGTACAGGGAGGGAAGCAGTGAGGCGTACAGGGAGGGAAGCAGTGAGGCGTACAGGGAGGGAAGCAGTGAGGCGTACAGGGAGGGAAGCAGTGAGGCGTACAGGGAGGGAAGCAGTGCATTGCTGGGGGAGCTGGCCCAGCATCTATCTATGCCACGCTCCGTACACTCCAGAGTTGACTTTTGAGTCGACTCAAAAGTCAACTGGCCCAGCGTCTACCTATGTCACGCCCCGTACACTCCAGAGTGGAACGACGAAACTGCAGAGCACAAGTTAACCCACCCACCCACTATCCTCCCATCCACCCACCCACCATCCTCACATCTACCCACCCACCCACCCTGCCACGCCAGCCAGCCATCCAGCCAGCACCCACCCAGCCACCCGCTCACTATCACCCGCCCCGCCACGCACCCTCGAAGCAGGCTGGCAGAGGCAGTGGTGCTAGCAGCAGTGGAGGAGCGCGAGAGTTCCTTCACCACCAGCAACAGCACCTCCCTCTGCACCTCCCTCTGCACCTCCCTCTGCAACTCGCTCTGCACCTTGCTGCTGCCCCCTCCACCCCCTCCTGCTGCCAGCGGTGCCCCCTCCGCCCCCTCCTCGCTCCCATCATCGCCGTCGTGCAGTTCCCCTCCTGCTGTGAGGCGCACGAGCATGCGCGCAGAGAGAACGAGGCCCTCCTGAAGGGAAAAGGGGGAGGGGCGAGGGGCGGAAGAGCGTGTGAAGCCATGACATGCGTTGCAGCAGCTGTGGTGTGGAGCCCTCCATCCCATCCCATCCCATCCCATCCCATCCCATCCCATCCCATCCCATCCCATCCATCCCATCCCATCCCATGCACACTGTGTCTTGCCTCATCCTCACATTCTCATCTCATTCTGTGTGCTGTGCAGTGCCACGTTCTGTTCTGACCACAAAGCCCCTGAGTGCAGTGCACCCAGCATCCCCCTTGGAACGATGTCCATCATATGCAGCAGATGTGTGTCTGGGAGGGCTTACCGAATGCATCTGCGCCCGCCATCACATGCACCGCTATCTTGACTCACCATGACATTCTCGTCCTGTGTGCTGTGGCGCCTCAAAACTTATCTCGTGTGCAGTGCCACGTGCCCACCACAAAGTCCCCGCGTGCACCCAGCAACCCTGTCAGTGCAATGATCCATCACAGGCATCACCAGTGAGTCTGCGCTCGCCATCACATGCACTGCTATCTTGACTCACCATGACATTCTCATCCCGAGTGCAGTGCCACGTGCGCACCACAAAGCCCCTGAGTGCACCTAGCAGCCCCGCCAGTTCCCCTGCTGCAGCAAGGCCCCTCCCACACGCTGCGAGGAAGGCTGCCCCACACGCCAGCAGCTTGCGTGCCAACCGGCCGTCGTCACTGCGGTGTGGGGGAATGAGGAGAATGAGGAGCATGAGGAGCATGAGGAGCATGAGGAGCATGAGGAGCATGAGGAGCATGAGGAGCATGAGGAGCATGAGGAGCATGAGGAGCATGAGGAGCATGAGGAGCATGAGGAGCATGAGGAGCATGAGGAGCATGAGGAGCATGAGGAGCATGAGGAGCATGAGGAGCATGAGGAGCATGAGGAGCATGAGGAGCATGGGCACACTAAGTGGTCTGTCCGCAAGGCACACCGCGAGTCACCAAGCCCCTGATTGTGCCGCTACCCTGTCGGTGCACCTGCTGCGTGCAACAGGATGAAGGGGGCCCACCCAGCCCAAGAGTGCAGAAAGGATGAAAAAAAGGAAGGTGAGGTTATCAAAGGTGCAATGGGCTGTCACGCGCCAAACAAAGGGCTGCCACAGCTTTTCTGGTAGAATGCAAGCTGAGGTGAAAATACAAGCTGGAATGATCGGAACGTGGCGGCGAATGCAACCTCAGGCGTGTGAAGCTGGTAGCGACTCCACACTGCTGCTTTTGATTACTCTCAGAGGTGTGGGAACGGAGGCACGAGCAACCTGCCTGAGGTGAGTAAAGATGCGCGTGAAGCTGGCCGCCATGTCGCGCTGCTGCTTTTGCGAATTCTCAAAACTTACTCGCACCTGACATGTGTGAACAGCGGCAGGAGCACCATGCCTGAGGTGTGTGAATTCTCAAAACTCGCACCTGAGGTGAGTGAAGATGCGGGTAAAGCTGGCTACCATGTCGCGCTGCTGCTGCACCTTCAGGGAGGCTCCGCCCGCAGCACAGCGAGTCAGCGCCAGCACGGAGGAAGCGGCCTCCAGACTGGACACTGTAGCGGCACCAGCAGCAGGTGATGCCGACGCGGGCGGGAGGAGCACTCCTGGTGTTGTGGTGGCGGTAGCTGCTCCAACTGCCAGCTCCAGGTGGCTCATAAAGAATGTGATGAGCTCTGCAGCCCACACGCAGGGCACAGAAGACACAGAGGGCACAGAGGGCACAGAGGGCAAAGAGGGCACAGAGGACACACGCGAGGAGGCAAACAAGTGATGAGTGGGAATGGGGAAGACTATGTGATGTGATATGTTGTGCAACGTTGCCCTCTCAGACTCTACGGCATGGCACGGTCAAATGAAAAGGTTCGGAGTTTACTTCGCAGCACAGCACCCTTCTCACCGTACAGCACCGCACTCATCTCACCTGAGAAAAACAGGCGCCTGGGGCAGGGCGGCATTGCTGCTATGTGTTGACACACCGTGCGCACCCCATCTCACCTCGCAGTGTCTTGGTGTGGGCGATGCAGAGCGCATAGTCGGGCACGGCGAGCAGGGCGAGCAGCGCATGGCAGTATTCGGTGAGAAAGGAGGGCGCCAGAGGCAGTGCAGCATTGCCGCTATCTGCTGACACACGGTGCGCACCACGTCTCACCTCGCAGTGTCTTGGTGTGGGTGATGCAGAGCGCATAGTCAGGCACGGCAAGCAGCGCGAGCAGCGTGTGACAGTAGTCGGTGAGGAAGGAGGGCGCCAGGGGCAGCGTGGTTGATATGTGCTGGCACAGTGTGCGCACCCTGTTGGCTAGGCGCAAGGGGTGGGCGCCCAGTGGGGGTGGGGGGACTGGGAAGGCAGGGGAGGGGAGCAAAGGAGGAAGGAGAATTAGACGATTAGTGTGGCTGCTATGTGCTGACACACCGTGCCCACCCTGGTGGCTAGGCGCAAGGGGTGTGCGCCCAGTGGGGGTGGGGGGACTGGGAAGGCAGGGGAGGGGAAGGGACGAGAGGGGGGATGTGGAGGCAGTGAATTGGGTCGTGCGGATGCTATGTGCTGACACGCCGTGCACACCCTGCTGCTGAGGCACAAGGGGTGAGCGCTAGAGGGGGTGGGGGTACTGGGGGAGGCAGGGGAAGTGAGGGGAAGTGAGGGGAAGAGCGGGGGGATGGAGGCAGTTGTCAGAGGTGCATTGGAGTTCCCTGATTGATCCTAGGGAAGGGTTAGAGGCATGTTGGCCTGGGGGGTTATGGGCGCACTCACCCGCTACACAAACAAGCCCTTTTATCCCAATGGTCTAAGTGGTTGGGATTCTGACAGCAGTGACTCCGGCAGCTGTGCGAGCCGCACTCACTGCATCCCTCCCTGACAGATGCATTTGAGAAATCTCAAAAATAACCCTCACACAGAAGCATCCCCATTCCCGACCCCCTCCACACCCAAACCCCTCCACACCCAAACCCCTCCACACCCAAAACCCCTCCACACCCAAACCCCTCCACCACAACCCCCTCCACCACAACCCCCTCCACCACAACCCCCTCACCCGGCACTCGTGGCACCTCTCTCAGCTGCGGCCTCTACAGGCTCCTCAGCTCCCTCGCTGCTTCCTGCCTGCGTGTGCCTCACTCACTGCATCCACCCACCCACCCCCCTCTGCATGCAAACCCCTCCAACTCCCTCTCACACCCCCCCTTCCTCCCCCCCTCTCCCTCACAGCACCTCTCTCATCTGCCGCCTCTATCAGCCTCCGCAGCTCCCTCGCTGCTTCCTGCCTGTGGGTGCGGCGCGTGCGCGTGGCGTTTGTGGCGAGCACGTCCCTGTTGATGGCCGTGCACAGCGCTGCCACCACGGTGCACCACAGCTCCTCTGATGCATGTGTGTGTGTGTGTGTGTGTGTGTGTGTGTGTGTGTGTGTGTGTGTGTGTGTGTGTGTATGTGTGTGTGTGTATGTGTATGTGTGTGTGTGTGTGTGTGTGTGTGTGTGAGTGTGTGTGTGTGTGTGTGTGTGCCAGCAAGGGAGCAGGGTGACAGGGAAGGGCAACAGGGGAACAAGTCAAAGGGTGGTGTGTACGGTGTGGCGACCATGTCCCTGTTGATGGCCGTGCACAGCGCTGCCACCACGGTGCACCACAGCTCCTCTGTTGCGTGTGAGCGTGGACAACAGAGAAACAGGGTGACAGGGAAGGGCAACAGGGCAAGAGGTGGTGTGTGTGGTGAGGTGAGCACGTCCCTTTGGACGGCAGTGCACAGTGATGCCACCACAGTGATGCCACCACAGTGATGCCACCACAGGTCCTCTGTTGCATGTGTGTGTGTGCCAGCAGGGCAACAAGGCAACAGGGAAACAGGGCAATATGGAGACAGGAGAACATTAGAATATGGCAAAAGGTGGTGTGTGTGGCGAGCACGTCCCTTTGGATGCGCGTGCGCAGCACTGCCATGCGCGTGCGCAGCACTGCCATGCGCGTGCACCAGAGCTATCTCATGCGCCAACACGGCGGCAGGGGCGCTAAGGCAGTGGGACAAAGGGAGTTGGGGAAATGGGGGAATGATTAGTGATTGATGGAGGAATGGGAGAATGGAGGTAATGGGGGATGGGGAAATGGGGAAATGGGGCGATGGGGAAATGGGGAAATGGGGAAATGGTTCAATGGGGAAATGGTTCAATAGGGAAATGGTTCAATGGGGAAATGGGGAAATGGGGAAATGGCTCAATGGGGAAATGGTTCAATGGGGAAATGGTTCAATGGGGAAATGGTTCAATGGGGAAATGGGGAAATGGGGAAATGGGGAAATGGGGAAATGGGGAAATGCAGGAATGGTGCAATGGGGCAAAGGGGCAACGGGGCAGTACCCTCTGGTCAGTACCTCGGTCCAGAGCGGTGCAGAAGGACAGCATGCACGAGTCGTGCATGTAGCGATGCAGCCTCCTAAAGCCCTCCTGCCAGCACAGCACGGGAAGCACAGCACGAGAAACACAGCACGAGAAGCACAGCATGAGAAGCACAGCACGAGAAGCACAGCACGAGAAGCACAGCATGAGAAGCACAGCACAAGAAGCACAGCACGAGACGCACAGCATGCGAAGCACAGTATACAAATAACAACACAGAAGAAAGGTATGGGAGAAGAGCTTGAATCCAAGCAGCAGCAAAGGGACTACTCACAACATATCCACCGCACACGATATCCACCGCACACCATTTCCACCGCACACCATATCCATCGCACAACATAGCCCCTGTGATAACGCCAGGTTCAGCCCCCTGTCACGTGCCGCACCCCGTGCCGCACCCCGTGCCGCACCCCGTGCTGCTAGGCTCACTCCACCCCCACTAGCTGAACCACCGCCTTCCGAGGCGCCCTAATACCCCGCATCACAACCCCTGGCCTGGCAGCACCCTCCCATTACCTACCGCGGTTCCTCGCGCGGCTTGGCCCTGACCGCGCCCAACAGCGCCATCATCACCTCTTGAGAGATATGAAAAGCCCCTCCCGCAAAACTGTTGAGACGCCCCACAAGGCCCCCATTACCCGCCGTACCTCGCGCTGCCTGGCCTTGTCCGCGCCCAGCAGCTGCACCATCGCCTCCACCTCCGACCGCGCCACCACCGCCGCCATGCTGTGCGCTCCTCACTCCTGCCGCCCCTGCACTAACAAAATGGAATCTAATCGAATCCGAATTCGAGCAGCGCGCAGTAAGCAGTTACATGGCGGTGAGCTGGCAGTAAGACGGCGGTGAGCTGGCAGTAAGACGGCGGTGAGCTGGAAGTAAGATGGCTGTGAGCTGGCTGCAAGCAGGTCTTAGCAGCGGGGCGACGGTGGACACTGCGATACAATCGGTGTGATTGCAAAGGAAGCAGCACGCGCGATGAGCGGAAGGGAAGCAGCGGGCGCGGTGAGCGGAAGGGAAGCAGCGCGCGCGGTGAGCGGAAGGGAAGCAGCGCGCGCGGTAGCGGAAGGGAAGCAGCGGGCGTAGTGAGAAGGAAACCTGCGTCGTTTGCGTCCTGCGTCTGCTATTCTGAACTGCAATCCTGGAAGGTATGATATCCTACATGCAAATCTCAACTAAGATAGCGTTCCCACAGTTTCCCGACACTGAAGTTTGCCCACCAGGCTCAAAAATTATCGGGATGGTGGTCAGAGTGGGGTACTGCCCCACTCTGGACACCGCATCCTTGCGAGCCGTTACGACCAGATTGCGACCTTCTGACCAGTACACACGTAAAAAATCTAGTCGCACCCAATAGGCCTTCACATCTGACAATCGGATGGACTCAACGACTCGGTTGGGATTTCTGACTACCGCGTAAAACGTTGCCCGAAAAATCGAAAACAAAAAACATTTGCTATTGAATGGCGTTGACTCGCAAACCGGACAGCTGAACTTCGGGCAATAGCACAGAAACGTTTGTTGGGTCGTAGCATAATTCGGTAGGCGTCGTGGGCCGTCAGATGAGATCGTATACGGCTGCGGATGAACACTTGCACGACCAATTTGATGGGAATCTTGGTGGTCAAACTTCGAGCCGCATGTTGGCAAATTTCTCATAATTGGCCAAATTGCAAGCCGCCTGGGCGAACTTTCTCTTCGGGAAACTGTGGGAACGCCTTCTAAGGATGATCAGGTCCATTCGTTTTCAAACAATCTACGGACCCGTACCCTACTTTGCAATGTAACCAGACTTAATGGTTTTATCGAAGCAGGAAACGAAACGAGCCACGACTTGGTTCATTTGCGAAACGTCCTGGCTCAATGAAAATCACGTCTTCATTACACCATCAATTCGTATGCCAGATCGAGACTGGTCAATAAGGGCGTGTCTTGTTAGGCGGAAGTACATTCATTTTCGGGTATTCCCAATAATATCCTGTAACACGTGCAATTGACGAGCGAGCCAGACAGTCCCTTCTGGATTCGTTTCTTGCATCGATATTTTTACGTGTCCTAGATCGTGTGCAGCACGTGCCATGCACTCGAGTACATAACATGTACACACATTTCTGGGTTTGCCAAGCTGTTCTCGGAAGTGCGAAAATCACCAGCACGTTTCAAACGAAATTAACGAATGCCCGAGGGCATTTTTCCACGCCTATTTCTGTTTTAAAGGCGGCAAGGTTACCGCTCGCGACATCTGAAACGGTACTCAGTTTTGTTCGGGCGAGACTGTATGTCGGCGTGAAAGAAAGTGGGCTCGCGTCAGGCGGACACAAACCGGTTTCTGGACGTGCGGACAGCAGTTAAAAAAAAAAAAAAAAAAAAAAAAAAAAACACACATACAATTACGTAAAGAAAAATGCAATTGAACAAAACACGCCCTGCAAGACGCGCCCTAATGGCTAGTAGTAACAATGTATTCTTCGCACAACTGCATCGCAATTCACCTCACTGTTTGCGTCCACGCGCTTGCTAATAGCTCAACTGTTTGGCGAGGACGTGGTCACTTCGCAAGCAAGAGTGTAGTTTTTTAACTGCTTTCGTGGGGAACCTAGGTACAATTTGACACGAGCTGTACATCTATTTTGTAAAGCTTAGAACTGAACTGTCATCTGAGTTGATACGAAATCTGTTGGAACAAGCTGATTGTGGCGAACGTAACGTGTCGGGAACGTCGTTGTCGACGTGAACATACAAGCAGTCAAGGCAAAGTTCCAACCAGTCTTCCAAACAAGCGAACACACACGAAACATGTATGTGACCAATGCCAAAAAAAAAATATGATGGCTTCTGTTGTCCAGCTAAGGTCGCCATGGATCTTGACGAGCTCTTCAAAGCTGACGATGTCTAGGCTAGAGATTCATATTATCAACACAGACTACACCATTAGATGCGGCTTGAGTTCTTCTATAAGCAAACATTTAAATTGTACCCATCATGCGGGTATCTTGCATGCTTATCGAATTCCAGGCTATCAGTTTGAGTCGACCCTGGGATCTGTCAGCTCGCTGCTAGTAAGCTCGCCACGTCTTCCCAAGGGGTCTCCTAGCAGCTATCCACTGGTTTTAGCGTCGCACGGAACCAGCTGTCAGGTTTTAATTGGGTTCATACCATTCCGACAATGCATTTTTAGCCTAACGGAATCTGCCATCAAGAACTGTCCTAGTCACACATAGGTGATAAGGTACCCCTGGAATCTCCAAAGGCAACAGTCCCCTTGGAAGTGGAAATCGCGGAAGAGGCTTGGAGCATATATTACGGGAACAAGGAATAAGACTTTTCACCGCCGAGCACAGCCTCGCATCAGTTCTGCTGTTCAATATGCCTCCTAAACCACGGACTGTCAGATTTATATGACATAGCTATTGCAGGCTATAGTGGGGTAGCACATATGGGGTATAGCTTTCTAGGCTTTGTATTTGTACCCAACTTTCACTTAGTCATTTCATTCTCATTTCAGTTTTCTCATGGTATCTAGCCGGTTCCCTCGTGGGAACTGTTCCTAGGGCCCACCGATTCGATTTGTTTTTTTTCCTGCCAGGAGCGCGCTCAGCCTTTGCCCGAGTCGCGCTCCCCTCTCTGATCTCGTCGCGCCCCCCTAGCAGCTGCGTCGCGCCGCCCTCTCGGCCCCGATCCGCCGCCCTAACGACCCCGTCGCCTAGCCCTGCGGCTCCGGCGCCGCCCTTCCTGGCCCCGATCAACCGCCCTGCGGCCCCGTCACCTACCCCGCGGCCCTCGTGCCACCCTACCTTCAGCCCCGACCCCGTCGCCTATCTGCGGCCCCGGCCTCGTCACTTACCTGCGGCCCCGTCGCCTACCTGCGGCCCCGTCACCTACCTAGGGCCCCGTCGCCTACCTACGGCCCCGGCTCCGTCACTTACCTGCGGCCCCGTCGCCTACCTGCGGCTCCGGCCCCGTCACTTACCTGCGGCCCCCGCCCCGTCGCCTACATGCAGCCCTGGCCCCTTCGCCTACCTACGGCCCCGGCCCCGTCGCCTACCTGCGGCCCCGACCCCGTCGCCTACCCCTACCGCCCCAGCCGCCCGAGCCGCCCGAGCCGCCGAGTCGCCGAGCCGCAGTTGCCCGCCCGAGCCGCCGAGCCGCAGTTGCCGCCCAAACCGCCTGAGCCGGCCCTGTCTTGTAAGAGCAGCGCCTCTACCACTGCATTGCCCTTACCCCACTGTTCGCGCTACTAGACTACTGCTGTCATGGCCACCCCTAGTGTCCTCGCTTTTGACGCTGAGGGTCGAGCCATTGACTTTGACGTCTGGATAGATGACCTGCAGCTTTTCCTACAGTGCGATAGGGCGAACGGTCTCCTCCCTCTATGACCTCACCTATGGTGCCTCTCCTCCCCCTGCTGCTGATGCTGACGCCACTGTTCGCTCACACTTGGCCACACGCGATGCTGCTGCACGTCTTGCTGTGCGTCGCCACCTGCCTACCTCTGTGCGTGCGCACTTTAGCCAGTACAAGAGTGCTCAGACCTTGTACGACGCTGTAGTTGCACGCTACTCCTCCCCTGCCACTGCTGGACTGAGCCGCCTCATGTTACCGTACCTCTTCCCTGACCTTACTTGCCTTTCCCACAATCGCTGACCTCATTACGCACCTGCGCACTAGTGACACTCGCAACCACACTGCGCTTTCTGCTGAATTCTGCGCCAAGAACCCCCCCCAATGTACATCACCCTCTACTACATAGTCACCCGGCTCCCTGACTCTCTTCGCGTAGTCAGGGACCACTTCCTCTCAGTTTTTCCCACCACTCTCATCGTTGACCTCCTTGAGAAGGCCCTCCTAGCAGCAGAGAAGATCATAGTCGCTGTAGGAGCCTCTCGTGGTGACCCTCGCACCCCCATCTTTGAGGGTTGTTCCCCCTCCCCCTTTTGCCCTGTGTTGCCTCTGCTGCTGCGGCCGACCTCGTTGGTCTTGAGTCGGTCGGTGCGGCGTCTACCCCTAGCGGGAGACCCCGCTCTGGCAAGGGCAAGGAGGGCCAGGGCGCTGGAGGAGCTAGCGGGGGTGGTGGAGGCGGCGGTGGAGGCGGCAGAGGGAGTGGGGGTGGTGGTGGGAGTGGTGGCGGGGGTGACAGTGTTGGTGGCGGCGGTGGCAGTGGGAGCGGAGGTAGCGGAGGTGGCGGCGGTGGCGGAGGCGGTGGCGGAGGAGGTGGAGCTGGTCGGGGTGGCGCTACGCAGCGGTGGCGCTACGCAGCGGAGGAGGTGGAGCTGGTCCGGGTCGGCTCCGGTGGTGGTCCGCGCCAGCAAGTAGCAGCAGCAGCAAGTAGCAGCAGCGCACTCGGGACACCCCCCCCTCTCAGCAGCTCTGTGAGTGGTATGCTGCATGTCAGCAGGGTGGGGGTACTGGTCCGTGCACCTACGTCCTACGCACTGGCGACCGCGCGGGTGAGCAGTGTGGGGGTGCGCACCCAACCAAGCGCTGCTTTGGCCGCCAGTTGGACGCTTAGTGTCACTAGTTCCCAGAGGCCACTGAGATCCCCCGCTAGGGTGAGTGGTCTAGGGCATGAGTAGCCATCTTTGACCTTGACTTCGGTGCTATTCTTCCTGCCATGTATGTCGTGACTAGTAGTGATGAGGGTGACTGTTACCGGTATTTTCCGCCCGACCCGGGCATTGAGACTGCTGCTCTAGGTATTGGTGAGGCTGCTTCTCTGGGTGCTAGCGAG